TGTGTATGTTGTTTCTATACAATGTATCAATATTATAAATAATAATTCAAATTTATTACAATTACAGTATTTGTATACTACTTGTTTCAGTGTTTGCACACGTTTTCCCAAAAATATAACGAGCCAGTACACTGTTACGTTTTTAAACGCTTTTCAGAATTTTAGCATTTCCATGTGTTTCAGTGTAAAATTTCACACGAATGTGGGAACTACAGCATTTGCATACAATGTCTGTGTTAAATATCACGTTTGTCCTAACTATAGTGTTTGTATGCACTGTTTTTAGTTGTTAAATTTCACATGTTTAAAGTAACTATACTATTTCTGTACAAGGTTTCAGTGCTAAACCTCATACAGTTTTCCTTCTGTTTCTATTCAGTGTTTCAGTGTTTATCCCTAAAGTTGCATTTTCTGTAAAAGTACGCAGCTCTTACCTGTCCACAGGTGAGTGCAGTTGTCAAGGAGTGTAGAGTGTGTGTGCTGTACAGAACTCTAAACAACCATTTTATCCCCCATAAGGAGGGGCTTAAGGGGACTGGCCCAATACACTTAGAGTGGTCAAAGTTCACACCGGAACCACTGGTATGAAAGCACGAGACGGTGAGTCATCAGTGCTGACCAGTCATTTTACCTGTTCGGAATAAAACAGCCCACGGCCTGCTGGTAAAATAATAACTGGGGCTTTCTTTATAAAAGTAGAACATATACGTAACGTCACAATCAGAGCAAATAATTACTGGGGCCTGACTCTTTATCTAACTCTGTTTTGAGACTAAAGATAGCACAGCACTTTTCCACACACACATCTTTAATTCATGGTGATAGCACAGCACTTTTCCACACACACATCTTTAATTCATAGTTCTATGAAGTTTGTATGTTTTTATGTGAAGGTTTTTATTCCAAAACACTTTATAGAGCAATTTCAATCTTTTTTTCATGATATACATTGTAGGGAGTGAGTTTTACACATGCAGTAAGCATCAGTGCTGTCATGTTTAATATCACCGGAGAACCAAAATGTGTTATACATCAGCGGATATTCATTTCAAGAACACTTTATTTTCATTAATGTTAAAATGTACGTAGAATCTTTTCAAATGAAACTCATATGTTGAAAGTAAATAACTTAATCAGAAATTTGTGTCAAGGTCATGAACTAAACTGTAGTACAAACTCAATTCCAAAAAAGTTGGGACGATAAAATGAGAAGATAAAATGCAGATTTCTAAACTGACTTTTACAGCTATTTAATGAAAAGAGCACAAAAAAGATATATTCAATATTTAAACTTATCAACTTTGTTGATTTAAACTTAAAAAATTCAAAGGACTTTAAGATCCCATCCCCTTGGAATTAAAAGGTTCTATCTATTTTGTTAAAATTGAGTTATTCATATTTCTATTCTGTGACAAATTCATAACATTATGTGAGGTGTTTTTAACTCTTTACCTAGAAAACAAGAAGGTTCTGTCTCCAAAGTCAGACTCTAACTTAGTTCTCTAAGGTTCTGTCTCCAAAGTCAGACTCTAACTTAGTTCTATAAGCTTCTGTCTCCAAAGTCAGACTCTAACTTAGTTCTCTAAGGTTCTGTCTCTAAAGTCAAACTCCAACTTAGTTCTATAAGCTTCTGTCTCCAAAGTCAGACTCTAACTTAGTTCTCTAAGGTTCTATCTCCAAAGTCAAACTCTAACTTAGTTCTCTAAGGTTCTATCTCCAAAGTCAAACTCTAACTTAGTTCAATATGTTTCTGTCTTTAAAGTCAAACTCCAACTTAGTTCTCTAAGGTTCTGTCTCTAAAGTCAGACTCTAACTTAGTTCTATAAGGTTCTGTCTCTAAAGTCAAACTCTAACTTAGTTCTATAAGGTTCTGTCTCTGAAGTCAAACTCTAACTTAGTTCTCTAAGGTTCTGTCTCTGAAGTCAAACTCGAACTTAGTTCTCTAAGGTTCTGTCTCTAAAGTCAAACTCTAACTTAGTTCTCTAAGGTTCTGTCTCTAAAGTCAAACTCTAACTTAGTTCTATAAGGTTCTGTCTCTGAAGTCAAACTCTAACTTAGTTCTCTAAGGTTCTGTCTCCAAAGTCAAACTCTAACTTGGTTCTCTAAGGTTCTATCTCCAAAGTCAAACTCTAACTTAGTTCTATAAGGTTCTGTCTCCAAAGTCAAACTCTAACTTAGTTCTATAAGGTTCTGTCTCTAAAGTCAAACCTAACTAGTTCTATAAGGTTCTGTCTCTAAAGTCAAACTGTAACTTAGTTCTATAAGGTTCTATCTCTAAAGTCAAACTCTAACTTAGTTCTATAAGGTTCTGTCTCTAAAGTCAAACTCCAACTTAGTTCTATAAGGTTCTATCTCTAAAGTCAAACTCTAACTTGGTTCTCTAAGGTTCTCTAAAGTTAAACTCTAACTTTGTTCTGTAAGGTTCTATCTGCAAGCCAATCAGCACTTTGAATACACACAAGAGGACCAATCAGGTTCTGCTTTCTTCTGCGGGAAAAGTTTATAAAACTTTATGAAATATGAAAATATGTTGCTGAAACATTGCCTTCTTACAGTTCTTTAAAAAGTCTTATTGTCTTAATTGTTATAAATATTAAGCCTCAAAGATAATTAAATAGTGAACATTTGAATTGAATTGAATTAAACATTTATTTTATTTATTCATCCATCTTCTCTTTTTCCTTCTTTCTTCCAAAATAAGACAAATAAAGAAAAAACAAAACCTCACACTGTCTTTAGACTGACCGGCTACACTTACTTGCTGCGACAGTTTATTACAGTAACTGGTTGCTGTCTAACCTGAAGGACACTTAAACTAATGGTTCCTACCTAAAATTGATCTCTGCATTGGACAAAATATTTAGCACTGTCCTTTATACTTAATATGCAGTGCTTTTTGAATAAGAAAAAGATGATTTGTCCTAAAACAAGAAATAATTATCATGAAAAATTTATAATAAAAATAAATGTAATAAAAATGTCATAGAAAGCATTGATGTTCTGATACATGTAAACACTCTGCTACAATGCTAATGCTTTAAACTATTTGTGTACCTTGAAAAATCATTGCTTCTTTTCATGTTTTGTCAGGTAGAACCTTATGATTCCAAGCAGAAAGTGAGTTCTTAGGATTAGAAGGTTCTATCTGCATTTGACCTGTTCCAAAAAACTCATTTACAAATCTGATAGGATTTTGATATTATAAATTTAGAATACATTTAGAGTTTTCATGTATGAAAGAAATGTGTTCCACATGTCAGTTTTGCTATTTTTTATGCAAAATATTTTAAGTTTAATATCTCAAAACTGCTCAGAACCCAGATAGAACCTTATGATTTCCAAGTGGATGAACTGATATTGTTAAAAATTACCTTTGAATTTCATATAATTTCAATATAATATATTTTATGTAATTTCTATATAAAACATATTTTATGTTAATAAAAGGTTCATAAAATTTCAGTTATTGTATACGCTGATCAGGCATAACATTATGACCACCTCCTTGTTTCTACGCTCATTGTCCATTTTATCAGCTCCACTTACTGTATAGGTGCACTTTGTAGCTCTACAATTACAGACTGTAGTCCATCTGTTTCTCTGATACTTTGTTAGCCCCCTTTTACCCTGTTCTTCAGAGTAGACAGTGAGTGGACACAGTGTTTAAAAACTCCAGCAGCACTGCTGTGTCTGATCCACTCAGACCAGCACAACACACACTAACACACCACCACCACATCAGTGTTACTGCAGTGCTGAGAATGATCCACCACCCAAATAGTACCTGCTCTGTGAGGGTCCATGGGGGTCCTGACCACTGAAGAACAGGGTAAAAGGGGGCCAACAAAGTAAGCAGAGAAACAGATGGACTACAGTCTGTAACTGTAGAACTACAAACAAGGAGGTGGTCATAATGTTATGCCTGATCGGTGTATATACCACAGGATGTACATCACATGTTGTTAGCGTGTATCCATAAATAATGTGATACAATTTAAAGTCAAAAATTCAAAGGAATTCAGTACACTGTATTGTTATAAATGTACATTTTAATAATTTCATGAAATTTGAGGTACTCTTAAATAAGACTCTTTGTATGTCCTACATCCGTATCTTTCTTTGCCACACCGAACATTCAACCCAATAAAAGCTCTCTGAACATGGACAGGATGTATGACACCAGGCGTCATCGAGGGTATGGTTGGTTCCATCTTCCGTTGCAATTTATCACTGAAGATCTTTGATAAGCAATTCTCTGAACCAATTTTAGCATGTTATAAACTTGATTGGCAATAAAAGTAAATCAATAAAAGATGTAATCCATGATTTCGTAATGCCGCTCTGTCCTAGTTTAAAACTACAATCAAGGAAGTTACATGCACAGCTTGTATATGTCCAAAAGTATCTGGACACCCCTTCTAATTACCAAATTCAGCTACTTTAAGATGGCACAGGTGTTCTATTGTGCACACACATATAGAGAAGCATTGACAATAGAATGGGGTACTCTGGAGCAGCCGCACATGTTGCCATGTCCCATGCCAAGCATCACCTTGACAGCTGTGGAGCAGTGGAACTGGGTTCTCTAGCATGATGGAGCTCCATCCAATACTTTTGAGGTGAGCTGGAGTGATCCAGAACTAATCATCCAACATCAGTACCTGACCTCACTTGTGGCTGAATGCAATCAAATCCTCACAGCAATGCTCCAGTGTTCCAACATCTATTGTAAAATCTTCTTAGAAGAGTAGAGGCTGTTGTTGCAGCCTTAGTAATACCCTTGGTTTTAGAGGAAACGCTGGATGAGCAGGTGTCTACAAACTTTTGGACATGCAGTGTATATACTGATTCTTAAAAACAACACCTTTTAGATGCCCATTTGCCAGCTTACCCACCATCCTGCTTACAAAAAAGACAAAAGGAAACTGTTTCCTTATATAGTTCTTGCTTTCAATGCTCAAAAAAAAGGAAGAAAGGAAGGAAAAAATAGAATGACAATGTTATGCTTTGTTTTTCATTTTATTTGGTTTGTCCACAGATTCATAATGAAGTCATCTGTATCTTTATCTTTGGATTTACTGTGACTTCAGTCCATTTAGTGTACAGAGTATATTATGTTGGTCAGGAGTTGAAGCTGAAATCAGTCCAGCATTATGGCTGTGAATAATGAGTTATGAAATGAGCCAATACACAGGACATTTTTCACCTGTAGATCTGTTACACCCTAAGTTTATCTGAAACGTAACTCGTTTCCGTGTAAATTTCAAGGTAAACAGATCTAATAGAAACCCTTAATATGACAGGAGGCACATAATGTAACAGAGATGTGATAAAGTACATATACATTTACAACGTAAGTACATACACAAATAAATATCTTCCCTTTAGGAGTCTATCTTTGGATACACTGCTTCTCACTACAGAATGTTTCCTTGAAGGCTTCCCAGACACAATGAGAGGCATAAAAAGTGGGCAAAGATTAATCCAAAAAAGAAGAGGAAAGTTTAACTCTAATCTTGAAGTAATACTCCAGTGTTTTTCAAACTTATCCTTGTCTGCTGCATCTATACTGTAAATTGGATTTCCATGGACAGCTATTTCCCTGCACATGGAAAAGAACAGAAAACCCATTGAGTCAAGACTCACTTATAGTAGAAGCAATTGGGCAGTTGCTTCAGCACCTGCCCACTGACTTCTAATACAAGAGATGTTTACTAGTTTGGACCATACCTTCAACAATTCATTTAATATGAGAAAAGCTGTATGAGATGAAGGGTGAGATCTCAGAGAACTTGAGGTGGAGATCTGGGTGACTTCTGCTTTAAGCTAGAAGGCCAACCCCACTGTGGTGAACAGAGGTAGGAGAGATGGCGTGATGGTGGGGTGTGAAAACTTTGTCCCAGAAAATAATCTGGGGCGTTTTCAGGCACGGACAGTTATTTCAAGTCAATGGGTTTTCAGTTTGCTACCTAAGCACAAGAGAATGCCTTAAAATTTTTTGACTGTTCCAACTGTCACTATGCTGCTGATGGAGTAGACAGAGATCAGACTGAAAAACACTGGCACATTCCTTTAATGAAGTCCCTAAACAAACTTTGCCTGGCAGTAGTGAGGACCAGCATTGACTCTGTTGGTAATACAACTCCTTATTGAATGTTACTGCAGTGGTACATAAACCAATGCATGTGATTTGAGCTCTGAACTCTACTCTCTGGAGTGATGTTGCTCCATCAAAACCTTTGAGAGCTTGTGTGATCCAGAACTAATCATCCAATATCAATATCTGACACTAGTGCTGTTGTGGCTGAATGCAATCAAATCCTCACAGCAATGTTCCAACATCTAGTGTAAAGCCTTCTCAGAAGAGAAGAAACTGTTATAGTCCTCAACCAAATTTTTTAATAGTGAGGACCAGCTCTGTTGGTAGTACAACTCCTTATTGAACATTACTGCAGTGGTACATCAGCAACTTCATGTGATTTCAGCTATTGCACGTATCTCGGTTTTAATGACACACTGTAATTTTTTTATGATGATGTTGGCCAGGTTTGACGTCAGCAAGTACAAGATTGAACCAAAATAAAGGATCATTCAACAGGAGTCAATCAGAGACCATATCCGACGTTAAAACAGTCTACAATACAAGGATAAAGTGACTGGGCATCTGACTTCAGATGAAACTGCTGAATGGTACTGTGTAATAAAAAGCCCTTTGTGAATGGCACAGAGTAAAAGATTTATCTATGATTAAAAATATGGTAATGGTACTTGGTAAACTTTTCATAATGGCATCCAGTGGTCACTTACAATTACATACAGACTACACATAAAGCAGATACAAGACTTTCTCCATCGCTGACACAGTATTCTTTCAGTTTTTCCTAACTTAACACACCTAACTGAGCTCATCAGTTATTTAACAAGCTGACTTTGGTGACTCCTGTGCAGATAAATGTTCAGCAGTTACATTCAGTGTCCACAAGGGGGCATAACAGTATTGAGTATGCACACATGACTTGTGGAGAAGGCCAAAAAAGAAAAAAAAAAAAGAAAAACAAAATGCTTTCATTTTCTACATTCAGTGTCTTTTGACACTCGTACAGTAGTAACCTAAAATAAACTGTAACGTCTGTTCAGTTGAGTCTTTGGCATTAAACACTGAAAACAATCTGTTCCTGTTCAGTGAACAATCTCTAGCGTCCTGCTTTATGTTCTTACTAATCAGCTACTTTTTAGTTGCTGTAGGCTAAAGGCAGTCAGTCCACTCCACAATTGTGGGTCACTTTGAGTGGGACAAGGAGAAAAACCTGTCTGTTTCAATACTGTTTTTAACATGGCCTTATTAACTTGCCCTCGCTGTTTTCCCTCTGGTGAATACTCAACACCATTTTGAAGGCATTCATGACTGTTAGCTCCGATGATTTTTGTTAGATGACCCCTTGGTGAGAGATCGAGCCAACATAAACGTAGACTTCTAAAAATCTTCCCAGAAATCGTGGTGATCTGACACCATTTCCTATTTAAACCCAAAAAAGGTGGACAAAGCTCTCTATAAGCCAGAGCATTCTTAAATTCTCTTAATATAAAGGTGCCAAAAAATTCACAGACGAACCACTTTTGTTTGTAGTTCTTTAAAGAGTCATTTCTGAAAAATTAGATATGCAAATATAACCTTGTTAAAGTTTAAAGAACGTTCCTCATAATGTAAAGGTTCTATACCTAGGTTTTTCCTAGAACCGTCCAACCACGCCAAGGACCAATTAGAGGGATTCATTTTTAAGAGTGTACTTAATATTTCAAAACTATCATTTGATTTTCTACATTTAAATTTGGCTTCTTGTAGCAAACTAGCCCATCTGTTATACAAAACTGCTGTATTAGTTATATTACTCTGCTAGCTTGCAAAGCTAAGGCGAATCCAGACAAAGCAACTGAACATATAGTTAATGTATGTTACATGTACAACTTCTAAAGAAAACAGTTTGCATTACAGTTTGCCAAGTTAATTAGCTCACTGAGGCTAGCCTTGCGTTCATCTAAAAACTCTGCCCCTCGCTGATCCCTCCTCAGCTTGTCTTGATAGTGGCTGCTTGTATAATGTAGGTTCTATGCAAGTTTGCGTCTGAGTGAAGATTTGTCAGTGGGCTTGTGTTAAAAACAGTACTGAAACAGGGCTGGTCATGGTGTTGAGTCTGTGAGGGAATTATGTTGGAGTGAACAGAATGGGATGCTGATAAAGAAATGAACTGTTAATTCTGGAGGAGGCGTATATTGTGGAACTGATCTCAGACAGGTTGGTAACAGTTTGTTTTCAGCTGTCAAGTGTATATTTTGTGTGTGTGTGTGTTTGACAAAGGTTAATGCGTACATAGACTACCGTTCAGAAGTTTGGAGTCACTTGCCATATTAATTTTTACTATATACAGTAATAATTTGAACAATTCATAGTTACTACAAACTAGATTCCAAAAGGTATTTTTAGATGTTTTACTCAATGTGTAACTTATTTTGGGAACAAAAAAAGTTAATAAATAATATAATATTATCTGTTTACATTTTTTTGCCACCTTGTCTGCTTTGACATTTTTCACCACTGAAACATTCTTGATATTAATTTTATTATCTCTTCACTCTTGATAGTTTCTAGTCTTTCAGGGCCAGATGTGATCTTGCAAGCACCCTACACTATACCAAAGAGAGTCCTTGGGCAAGACTCCTAACACTACCTTTGCCTACCTCTGTAAAATAAGGATAGAGGGTGATGGTGTGCTTGTCACATTGTCCAACGGACAACAGGCCTGTAGCCTGTGGATGAAATGCAAGTTAGCATGGCTAACAGTTGTACATTGGATATTACAAGAGCACAGCCTAGAGAAATTTGAGGGTGTGTTTTGGAGGGGGTGTACCCTTGTTAATGGCAGATTTTGACAAAATCCAGCACCAAACGTTTAACGAGTTTTCCCCAGATGTGTATTTTCATCACAAGATCACGTCTGGTCCCTCAAGACTAGATGTTATGCTGCGTTCTCATTTTAGGATAATCTCTGTTCATCATTCTGGACACATTCAACATTTCTTAATAGTTACAGCTTTCTACTAATTATGTGAAACCTGTTAATTTGTGGACTATTAGCAATATTATATGTATTATCTGCTAGAAAATGTGAAAAAAGACACTATGGAAAACACTGATTCTAAACTTTTGAACAGTAGTCTGTCTTTGTGGGTTTGGTAGTGAATGGTCCAGTAACAGTGTAAGTGGCTGTGCATTGGCCTGCGATCATTAACATGAGCAGCCATTCTGCCCAGCAGGGGGCGTGTCCTGTAGGCTGGGGCCTTTGTGATTGGCCAGTTGGCTGGGCTCTCCATCCATGCTCTCATTCATTTTGTCGCAGATGACGTCCACCAGCCGCTCAAACACCTGCTTCACGTTGATGTTGTCTTTAGCACTCGCTTCGAAAAACTGGAACCCTGGAGAAATGACACAATGTACAGGTGTATAAGACACACAGATAGACAAGTAGACAGACAGATACATAGAAAGACACAGATAGATAGATACATACATACATACACACATACATAGCAGATAGATAAATGGACAGAGAGACAGACTCATAGGTATGTTTTTGGCAGTCCATCACACTACAAACACACAAAACATATAACAAAGCATCAAAAACACAAAGTATATTTTTTCCATTCTACACAAATTGAGTAAAAAGAGGAAACTGTCTTAAAGGACTATTTCTGAAGAGCCATAGTCATGTGACACTAAAAACAAACTTAAAAAAAAAAAAATCAAATATACTACAATTTACTAATCCCCGCCCGACAGAAATCAAAACACGTAAATATATCAGATTTTATTTTGAGTATCCACATTTTGCCTTTATTATCAGGACTCATAGTGTTGAGTGTCGTCTCACAGAGGAAGGATGGACAGAAACACCTGTGGATTTTTACAGATCTAAATCAAGAGTGGAGCTTGATTTCTCCTCTCTCTCAAAGATGAAAGCTTGAAGTGCTGTTTATCTGAACAGGGACAGTTTTGATGGTCTACCAAGTCTTATTAAAAGTCCCATTTTCTTTACATTTTAAATCATTTTAAATCACCAATTTTGAACACCAGTTTTGGATACTCCTGTTTTTCCACTTGTTTTCCTTTGACTTTCTTCTTCCTTAGACAAGCGGATTATCTTTTATCTAATCTCCTCAGAAATATTTACTTGTACTGAATTGTGGTTTTGACTGGAAATTCAATAAATGAAGAGTGGCCTCTGACTTTGGTTACTGTATGACGTTATATGTGCATATGAGGTATCTATATTATGTCAATGTCTAATTATCTAAAGCAGATAGAGGCACTGTACTGTCTTGTAAAACAGAGTAGTGGTACAATGACTGAAGCATATCAATAAGTTATGTTTATATGACTGGATTTCGAGGAATATTTGTGTGGGCATTGCTATCAATATAATAATGCACACGATTCTGGGTTTATGAGGGTATCATGATGTAAAATATTTGAGTAATGATAGTGGAGCATGTCTCCTCCTAGTACGAACACTTGTCTCATTAGCAGTATTTGATTTGTCAAGCATGGATCATAACCTCGCCTGTGCCTGCATGCCAAATTTGGCTCTGCAATGCAGAGAGAGAGAGAGAGAGAGAGAGAGAGAGAGAGAGAGAGAAAAAAGGAAAGGGTCTGTTGGAGCTAAAGTGCTGTTGGCTGAATAGGTGGATATATGTAAATATGTCATTTTTTTGCTACATCACAAAAAACAATTAATTCAAAATGGGCTGTTTTTGCAGCCTAGTTTCCATATAAGTACTGTGTGGACTGAGGAGTGAACAGTATGTTTTGTAATTTTATGTTACTGTTTACATATTACATCAAGCTTTTTCACTACAACAAATACCAACAAAAAAAAGAAAAATTCAGTTTTCCTTATATGGGCCGTCAAGTCAATTCTGACTCCTAAATGCTAAATATAGAGGGCTGAACCACTCTGACGCACAGTTATAATAGCCAGCAGGTCGGAATGTTTATTGGGCATTTATCTAACATTAAACTGTATTCATTTGTATGTATGTTTTATTTGTATGGATATTTCTTGAGTATAACACTTGTAAACACTGTTTTCTGCTGCATATATTTACTATCAAAACATCAATCAGGTATTCAGAGTTTTTAAAAATAGGCCTAACAATAAAAATGGACTTGTGGAGCCTTTCAAAAGTTCCAGAATTCTAAAAAGTAAAGTCCATCCATCCATCTTGTAGCTGGGCATCCATTTCCTCCTTTACTTTCAACTGTTCCATGCTTAATTGACTTTTCCTATGGAATGTTTTTTCTTGTAATGCGTCCAAAAAAAAGAGCTTTAGTTTTGTTATCTGGGCTTCGAGTGAGAGGTGAGGCTTGATTTATTCAAGGACTCATTTGTTTATTTTCTTTGTCCTCCATGGTGCTCTAAAAGTCTTTGTCAGCACCAAAGTCCACAGGCATTAATATTTATCCTGCTCTGCTTTATTACTGTCCAGTTTTCACATCCATAAAGGACCACAGAAAAGATCTTAGCCTGGACAATTGTCACATATCATTTATGTTAGATAATTTTTTCCAAAAGTATTAGAATTTTATAACCTTTGAAAGAATCTGCATGGTTTGCTTAAGTCCATTTTTATTATTAGGCCAATTTTAAAAACTCTGAATACCTGATTAATTGTGATAATCATCACATTACTCTATAGTCCCAGCCCTAGTCACACGTAAAGTGAAATGTACATGTCCAAGCTCACCTAACTCATTAGCTAGTCTCTGTCCATCTTCTGTGGCCACCAGTCTGTCATCCTCCAGATCACACTTATTCCCCACCAGAATCACCTGAGCGTTGTCCCATGAGTACGTCTTAATCTGAGTCGCCCTGAGTCACACACACATTCACATATACGCACACAAACACACAAATTTAAGATGGAATCGAACAACATAAAACTCCTAAGTCAGACAATGACAATGGCATTAACAACTTCAGTGCAAATTTAGTAGAAATTACACTTCAAAATGTCTGAAAATGCGAAATGCTTCTAAGTATATAAACGTACTGTCACACAAACGAAATAAAACAAAGAAATAAGCCATGTGTTAGTTATTTTACCATGGTTAAGGGATGGCGTTAGGCCCAAAGGGGGAGTAATACTCCCTTAACTGTGGCAAAATCACTGAAGCACACAGTCTTTAGCAGCACTGAAATGTGTGCATTGTACAACAGCTTTGAACATGGCTTAGCCAATCAGATTTCAGAAACAAAAATATGTTTTAGAATATTTAATAATGAACTGAACGTCAATAATGGACTGATAAAAAGCTCTCACCAGTCTTGTACAGCATAGAACGACTCCTGATTGGTGATGTCGTACATCAGTAGAAAGCCCATGGCTCCTCTGTAATAGGCTGTAGTAATGGTGCGATATCTCTCCTGACCTGCGGTGTCCTACAGCAGGCCAAAACACACAAACAAAGCTGCATTAGGCACATTAAGCATTCCAGGAAATAAATACAAATAAATCAGTGGAAGCTTAATATCTGGGTGTGCAAGCAAAAAGAAAAATCAATACAGTGTAATACTGCAATACTTTGGGCTTAAACTTAGCACAGATACACAGAAGCCCAAGTATTGATATTTTATCATTTAATTATTAATAATTTAAACTAGACTAATAGATTACCACAATGCATTTCTATCTTAATTATAGTTATTAATCTTAGACTTTCTTCTATATGTACAAGAACATATACTGGTTCTAACCCACCATCCCACATGAAATATTTCACAATTTGACTACTTCACTACTGGGCAGGCCTCCTAACGTTACAGTCACCTACCACTGTAAATCGCCCTGAATAAAAGTATTCATTAAATATATAAGCATTAAGCCTGTTTTGAATGTAATTTTGTCTACTTCACAAATAAAGTCATCTGCTAAATATGTTCATCTAAGGACAAAAAGGCGCTACTTCTATTTCACAAGCTATTTTGCCTCAAAAATGAACCAAAGCGAGATAAACCAGGTGTAAACTTTATAAGATAAAACATTAGATTCAATTTTCAGATTAAATTAGACTAAATGCATATCTTCAAATAACACACATCGTATCTTAGTAACATTGCATCACGGAGCACGAAGCAATACCAATATTAATATAACGATTGGTACATGAAGGTGAAAATTCACAAGATTCTCCACAGTTAACTACCAGACTACAAAAGAAAGTACAGCAGATATAGAGGTGATGGAGTAATCTTCCTAATCCGTTCTTCCAAACAGGTTATCAATGAAGGACACATCCTATACTGTAATAACCTTTCAGCATAATAAATCTGCTAATCAGCAACACCACTACACATTTTAACTGCAACCCAGTGGCTGCTCGTGCCACCAGTTTTTCTTCTGTCATGTTATGTTTGCTCTCTGCTCATGTTTACTGCCTCCTGCTCTTTATCAACAACATTACAGGCATCACATGATGTCCACATCAAAGAGGATGACGATCTTTATGGTGTAATGAAGCTGCTTCTGCAAAGCAAAAACCATATCGAGTGAGACTGAACTGGCAGTGTCTTTGTACCCGACTGAGACAGCATCTTATTAGCTTACTGCACACTAATAGCTGAACTGTAAACAGAAACTAGAAAGCCAGCTTTACTAGCAGTGTGGTAACTAGGCAACCACTAATAGGTTTCCAGGACACTGCAAGGTCTTGACTTTACGTAGACTGCCGTGACCTGTCATGTGGAGGTTACCATGGTGACAGTGTATATGTAATTGAAAAGGGTTAATGGGTGGCTACAGACAAAACCCCATCCTCTGTTTTCAGCAGAGATAAGCTCAACAGCTGCCCAATACAAACACACACATTCACACAATAATGACAAGCAGCCTGAAGAAAAAGGCTGGTGATTGTTCTCTGCCTGGACACAGTACTGAGCGAAAGTCAGAGATCACCCTTCTTTTATTGAATTTCTAGTCAATACAGCAATTAAGGACACTGTATTTATTTTTCAGTGGATATTTCTTAGGGGACTAGATATGAAATAAGTAAGGAAAAAAATAATGGAAAATAGAAACTGTGCAAGACCTTGTAGACCACCAAAACTGTCTCCATCAGATAAACAACGCTGCTCGCTTTCACCTTTGAGAGAGAGGAGGAAATCAAGCTCCACTCTTGCTTTAGATTTGAAAATTGTCCAAATTCCCCTTTAATTTTGTAATGAGAGTCAAAAAAGGTCAAACAATAAAAATGGACTTACTTAAAAAAAAATAGCCAAATATGCAGAGTCCTTTAAAGATCATTACGTGTCAAAAAGTGCATATAAATAGGTGTGTTCATTAAGCTGTGTTTCATACTATAACATAGGGCAGCATAGTGAGTTATCTGGAAGGTACATTTTAACCAGTGATTTGAGTAAATTAATGAAGTTTCATTTTAATTTAAACTATATTTAAGATATTTATGGGGGGGGGACAAACTCTCTAAACTCTCCATCCAAAGGGTATTTAAGACCAAGACAATACTGTTGAGAAATCCCTACTCTAAGTGTGTCTTATTACTCAGGACTTGATGTGTAATGTGTAATGTTTACTTTCTTCCCTAATACTGTACTGAGTCAATGCAAAGTTAAACTAAAGTCATGCCTCATTTTCAGACTCCTCCCTTAAGTAAACCTGCATGTGCTCATACACACACACTGCTGTTCACAAGTCAGCATTCACACGTTCTGTGAGTGGGCAGAGAGAGAAACCCTGAGAGGAGTGGATTATATTGAAACAGCACTGCAGTCACACTTAAGCTTATCATTAAGCAACTCTAAAAAGACACTCAGTCAGTAAAGGCAGGAACTCACACCAGTGTCTGAGTCCTCCACACCCTTGAAACACACCTCCAAAACACACACAGCAAGACAAGGTCAAGCACTGACCACAGTGCACCTCTTAAAGGAATGATAACATTGCTAACATTGCCAATAATAAATGAACGCAACAAGCAAAGGAATCTAGCGCACTAGATTAAGGTTAGTATTCAACTAAAAATTATATAGGGATCTTTATAGGGAGAAAAGTCTCTAAACTCTCTATCTAAACAACATTTAGACCAAAGTAATACTGTTAGCAAATGACTACTATAGCCTATGTGTGTGTGTGCTCAACAGGGGTGGAAGAGATACAAAAAAAAACATAATTAATCGATTCCACTGATTTTTTTTTTTTTCCTAAATAAAAATAATGTAAAACTCTGTTGTTCAGAGTTCTGATGTGAAATTCTCCATTCTAGAGACATTTACTGTGTCAGAATTGTACACAGTGGTGGTGATAGGAACCAGACATCTGTTAAGTTTAATACCTCTTAAAGATCCCTCACAGAAAGTTACTGATGTCACAGACATTGTTTTATGATAGTTTTGTAATAAGAGTTTAGTCTGAATGTTTTTTTTCAAAAACACATCCAAGGTTGAGGGATACATGCAGGGTGTTGTCTCAAACAGTCAGATTTACCACTATTGTAACATTATCCTCATTGCATATAAAAACTTACATAGGGCTGAGCAATATAATGATATTTATCATCATTGTGGTATGTCACAATATGCCTTTCTAAGCATATCATAAATATCATCAGTATTTAATAAACACTGAACAACTACTTGTGTCATTGAAAAAATAGTAATAAAAATGAATTAAAATCAGTAATCAGTAATTTGGTGCAGAGCAGTTGGTGAAATGCTGAATAAAAATAATAATTAATTTTATTTAATATTTGTACTCATTGGGTGGCATTTACCAACCATTCTTAAGAAGAAATTTCTTTTAAAACCCACATATGTAGTTTTCATCAAGATTCTGACATTCACCAATGTTTTCTTATCTGGGATTTGTTCTTAGGTAAGAACAGCATCTGTACACACTCAAGAGCACAAACAATTCAGCTGTTTAAGAAAACAGACTTTTTCTTAGGACCTCAAGAACACATTTAAGAAAAAACTTTGTAAGATATTAGTGAATGAGGTCTAATGTTTTTGGTAGCATTTTTTAAAATGTGGCACTTTAAGGTTTTTTTTCTGTTCCAACTTATTAGGCCTCAAAACACAAGATATTGTGACATACTGTGTGCATCATGAAAACGTTGTGATCATATTTTTGCCATATGACCCACCTCTGAGAAGACACATGGAGGTTCACTGCTCGTTTTGGTATTATAAATTAAATATCGGTTTCCATGTTGTACATGTCATGAGCCCTGGTTCCACTGTAAAGAAATCTGAGTCATTCATTTTCCCTACAATAAACCATTTCACATTAACCCACTCACATTAACTGAATGACTTGTGCAATGATTCATTTATGACTTTCACTCTTGATGCTGTACTAGCATCGGTAATGAATGAAATCTAGCAAGAGGCCAGTGAGCAACAGGCAGATTACTGAACCTCACACAGATTAAGAACAGTATATGACTAAAGGGAATGTGTTTCACTTTAACATTGCTAACAATGAATGAAAGATAGTAAGAGACTGGTTAGCAACAGGCAAACTAAATGAGCTAGCTGGTTAGCATCACCATTCATTTATGGTTATAGTATTTATTTCAGCCAACTCTACAGTATTAATTTTATACATCTGCATCACTTTTAAAAGATGAGAATATTACCTCTTTAACATATACAGCACAATATTTTGATTTAAAAGTGTAAGACATGAAGTTTTTTTGCAGTCTTTTCAATATCCCAATGTTTTATTTTCTTATGCTTTAGCCATGCAAACTGCAAGTTCATAGTTTTATGTGTTCACACTATGTTTCAGCACAGATCAGACCTTTTCCTTAATGCTACCACACTGTCTTTCCACTGCGTCACCGTTTCCTTGTTAGCAACACTGTCTTTGCTTCCTGTTGAACAGAGCCTGAGCCAGAGATGCTGATCTGAGATCAGCTTTACTGTTTCTGTTTCATTATCAGACCCTCACATCATACGCAGAGCCTGAGAACCAGCAGTCGTTTTGCAGTTTCAGTATGATGTGGTTTTAATAGCCTCCTATCAGTTAGGGTTAATGTTAAAACTAGAATTAAGGCTACTTGGGGCACACTAAGAAATCTGAATGTAATAGGTGTCGGGTTGGATTTGGTGAATGTTTTTCTGGACTGCGTCATACGTCTTTATGTATTAACATCACATGCACAGGCTAAAAAAGAAGGTCCGGCTTAATGTTTAGGTCTCACACGCAAAATTAACACTATACTGATGACGTTCTCAAATCTTTTTAATCTTGTCAACTCCTTAAAACCACCGGTGGTTCCAAAACGCAGTTCGTCATAACTTTCATATTTCATAAGCTACATTCAAAAGGTGGGTGTCATATGAGAGCTGTAACTGTCTTCTTTCCAGTCAAATAGATGGGTAATGTAATTTTAAATCCTTAGAATAAAAGAAGCTGAACTCACAATTTTTTTTGTCTACTGAAAGTCGACCCATTTTTCCACAAATCTGGGCTATAAAATATAAACAGATGGCGTCTCTTCAGTGATCTGCTCTGTACAAATGATTTTTATAAAAAAATACAAAGAGCGTCTTTGGCTTTCAGCAGTAAATTGTAAGCATATAGCAATATGTGTATGATCATAAAACACATGTTCTGTCAATTTGAGGGGAGCTTTTACAAAAACAAAATAAATAAATAAAAATGTACATTTATTTCATGCCGTTAGTGAATAATTTGCCTTACGATTTGGTCATGGAAATTCAGATGGAAAAACCGAAATATACCCTGGTCTATAAGAGGTTAAATACTCTTTCTAAGCGCTCGCAATCAATAGATTCATCCACTCAGGGAAGAGGTTTGAAGCACAAACGACATTACAAGATGTTTTTCGACAGGTTGCATGCAATTACACATTCCCAAATATTACACAGTGTGCAGCACTTCAAAGCCCTGTTTAAACTTAATGCTATTTCACCAAATTGTTGCCCTGTATATTTTTTCTAGGGATGCACTGATATGGGAACTCTTAGCCAATATTTTTTACTTACATATCTACCAATGTCGATGCTAATGCTGATATATATGCATTTCCTAAATTCTGAAACTGGAACTATATCCTCCTGGATGAGCATAAAGAAACCTAACATTTGTTTCTAGAGTACGGAGCCCTGCTGGTGACATCCTGTATAAATAAAAATAATACGTGGCCACGACTTAGTAAGGCATGGGAACAAGATAATTAAGTCATGGCCATGACTTAGTAAGGCATGGGAATGAGATCCTAATGCGTGGCCATAACTTGGTAGGGCATGAGTCGCAGCCACGACGTACTTAGCTTATTCCTATGCCTTACTAAGTCATTGCCACTCATCATTTTTAATTTTTATGGGATGTCACCAGCAGGGTTGTAATAGAGGGTTCCAAATGCAGTAAAATGAATAAGAAAAAAACAAACAATTTATAGTAGCCCCACGTTTCATAAACGCTCTGCTCTTCCAGAGTACAATATCAAAAATTGGTTTGAACCATCAGTCAACTATCAGCTGGGTTTTTTTTAAATAACAAAGCCTGCCTCTTCAGATGAGCTAATGAGCTAACAGAGCTAACAAGTGTCATGTTTGATGATGTTGGTGAGAACTTGTCATCTCCTACACAAAGTATTTTTTTCTCAGTCGATGATGTACCAACATGTTATTTGTCAGAGAAATATAGTTTCATTGTGAAATCTATCTAACATCAGTATCTGGCTTTTCAGCCACGGCCTTAACAATGCATCTTTGGCAACATGCTCACAATCAGGCACTAGCATGCTGTAGTAGCAAAGTATAACTTAACAAACTTCCCCACAAATATGAGCAAACCCGTCGTGTTTCACTGAATTGTTGGCTTATGTAGTTTTCTCTGTTGTGCCACGAAGAAACGTAACAAATACCCAGAATACTGATTTCATTATTTGAATATTGGCAAATTGAACGGTTAACCGAGTATTGCTTCTTCTTTGAATAGTGCTTCTTCTTACAAATAAAACACTCCCCTCAGGGGTTTCACTGCTACATCTGAATGTTTGTGGTTTGTAGCATTTCCATCTCCATATTGATTTAACACAAACACTATTGACTGTAGCAGTCTCCAGACCAGAGAGCCACAAGACACTGCAGTCTTGCATAAGGAAGGGGAACGCAAAGTTAAATAAGTAAAAACTGGAGTTCAAATAATTAAAAGATACAGAGAAAATGAGACTCCTAACAATCTTGCAAAAGCTGGTAGACCACCAAAACTGTCCCCATCAGATAAACAGTACTTGAAGCTTTCATCTTTGAGAGAGAGGAGAAAATCAAGCTCCACTCTTGATTCAGATCTGAAAACATCCACAGGTGTTTCTGTCCATCTTTCCACTGTGAGAAGACAACTCAAAACTATGAGTCTGAAAGGATGTGTAGCTGTCGAGAAATTAAGTTAAAAATGAACACAAAACTGGAAATCTGAGATGTGGAGTAGCGTTTTATAGACTCGTGAGTTTAAATTTGTTATTGAGATTATTTGGATCATGAGAAGCAGAAAATGCAACCAACTTCTAAAACTGAACTTTGGAGGTGTGGAAAAACATCCCTGCAGATCTCTGAAAAACTGAAAGCAAGACTCCTGAAAAGACTGGAATCTGTAATAAATGCAAAGAGTGGACACATTAAATGCTGAAAACCGTGACATTATATTTAGTTGTTTTTTTTTAAAGAGTCTAGTTTATCTTTTTTAGTAAGTATTCTAAGTATTTTGGAACCTCTGAATGGTTGTGCATGGCTCATTATGGTTCACTTAAGTCCATTTTTATTGTGTTTATTGAAACAACCTCTGATAATGCAATTAATTCGACATAATCAGTAGATCTCCAGATTACTAATATAAATCAATAGTGAAGGCCCTATTTGTAGCGAAAGCACATGCAGTCTGTCTCTCTCTTCCACATACACACCTAGTCTGTCTCAGTTTACATACACACATACAAACAGACGTCACTGCAATTGTTTCACAGTAATTCCTTAAACCAATATACAATATTCATCTCAAACAAGCCCTTGCAGTTTCACTTCAGGTCTGTCTGGTTGCCTCACCTCAATAACATTTTCCATGTTGTAGATTTTATTTACTGATAACTGGACTCATTCACCTTTAACAGGCATCCTTTCAAATGAAAGTCTGTTATGTTCTTAATGTATCCGGACCAGGCAAGGATAATGTATGGGCCCATGAGAGAGTGTAAGTCATCATGGATCAGAGGAAGCTGTGCCAGAATAGACTGCACTACTATGGCAGTGCTCCATTAGCCAACAAATTAATTGTGACTCATTTCCTTAATAGCTTTTCACTGAAATCAGATTGACCCCCACTCTGCTAAGAAAATACAGTACATCACTGAACTAGGTCTGCATGATATGGACAAAATACTGGTACTGTCATTATATTGCTACATATTGCAAAAGCAAAATGCTTTGAAGCTGTGTTGACTAACATAATTCTAAAGAAAATAAATGTGGACTACATCTGATAAAAGACCAGAGTCGAAGAACGATGAGCTGCTCAGTTTTAAAAGGACCATATTCTACATTTTACTTGTATTTTAATATTAAATTTTCACTGAAGACCACTTATAACATTTGTGTTGTTCTCCACAATATGGGCCCTTTAAACAAAGCATGCATATTTCATCCATGAATACATTTTCACTTTCTCCTCACATTGCCACCACCTCCCAACAACATGGACTACAACTCCCTTTACTCTTATTCACCCAGATTTAGTGTTTGGGTTTCTCATTCTGATAAAAGTTTTTTGATGTTACAACCACAAAATAAATGCATTTTCCCTTTTTTCCTCAGATGAACTACAACTAATAACAATAAAAACACAGAAAACATGTGCTACAACTCCCATAACACCTCCTTAGTCAGATCTGAAGTTTACATATCTTGTTCTGGCAAATGTTTTTTCTTATTCTGGTTGTTTTTATTGACTTTTGATCACAAAAACACATTATTCCATTTTTCCCGGATGAATTCCAGATACCAGCAAGAAAACACAGAAATTGTGGACTACAATTCCCATCATTCCTACTCACCCACATCTGGAGTTTGAACTTCTCATTCTGGTAAATTTTCACTGATGTTTCAATCACAAAATGCATTTCTTAAATGAATCACATTGACCGACATAAAACACAGAAAACTACAACTCCCATCAGTCCTACTCACCCAGATCTGGAGTTTGACACGTTTCTCGTTGCGGTAGACAGTTTTGACTTTGAAGTCGATGCCCACGGTGCTGACAAACGCTGAGGTAAAAGAGTCATCTGCATATCGGAAAAGGAAGCTGGTCTTCCCCACGCTGCTGTTGCCAATGATAAGAAGTTTAAACATGTAGTCAAAATTCTGATCCGCCGCATCCTTCTGTGCCTGCGTCTGCTGGCGGGGGTCACTCACTGATGCCATCTAAGGGATTGGAGGGTGAGAATAAAAAAATTGGAACATTAGTACAGTGGGGTAGCTCTGTATTGGTGTTTTCTCTGTTTCTATAAAATATTTAATCATCATCATCATCATCATCGTTAACCGCTTAGTCCAGATAGGGTCGTGGTAGCAGTTGGGAGAGCAGAGAATCCCAGATGACCCTGTCCCCCGCAACTTCCTCCAGCTCTTTCCCGGGGACCCCAAGCCGCTCCCAGGCCAACTTGGAGATATAATCCCTCCAGCGGGCCCTAGGACGACCCCGGGGTCTTGTTCCGGTAGGCTGTGCCTAGTACACCCCCACCGGGAGGCGTCCAGGGGGCATCCGGATCAGATGCCCGAACCACCTCAGCTGGCTGCCAGCTGAAATATTTGATCTAACTTATCAAATAATTAAAATGATTATTCAGCCAAAACATCAAAACACAATATTCCCCAAACACAATCACTCAGATATTATCTATAAAATAAGACAAAAGTACAGGCAAAAGTCAAGCTTTTAAGATGACTACTTTTTCTTTTTGTGACATCCTTTTGGCCATTTTATAGCTAACAGTAGTGAGGAGCCCTTAGGGCCTTCTAGGCCTCCAGAAAAGGCCTAATACTGTAAAATAAAAGAATACATATCAGTAATTTGTAGTTTATTTTTATTTGACATAAGCATCACTCTTCCAACTCTGCAAGTACTGTAGTAATATTCTTATTTCAATGTTGAGTTTTGGTTGGAAACAAAAGGCCTAGCTCTAATAATCAGACTCACTACTGTAGATAACAGTATGTCAGTGTCAGAAACCAAATTTATTTGAGATTATCTAGCAACTCTACACAGTTAAGGACAAGTGTAATGATTTAGGTATGTACTTTGCACAATGCTAATCACTGCAGTATAAGCTTCCATTAATTGCTATATTAGCCTCATAGCTCCAGTGTCAAACTAAAGAAGCAAAAACTTCAGACACCAAACATGTCTTGGCTGATGGACTACATTAAGAGGGATGGGAAAACTCTGTAAATTTGATTTTTGGCTGGACCATCACTTTAACAAGGCCTTCTTTGGCTACAAGAGCTGTGTTGCAGAAAGCAAAGCATTACAATGTCCAGGACAGGAAAACACCAGGCCTGAGTAATGCATCATTAACACTGTCAGCTGGACTGTACACACTCGTATATATCCCTCTTTTTCCTCTCTCTTCAATTTTGTCACGTCATCTCCTCCACTTCTCTTCCTGCCTCTCTTTGACTTTCACTTTATCCCCCCTTCCTCCACTGTTATCTCTCTCACCATCACTTTGCCTTTCTCCTCCTCCCCCATCTCTCTCTCTCTCTCTCTCTCCCTCTCCCTCTGTAAAATCTGTAAATCAGAGACGCTGAGTGAGGCTTTTTCCCTGATTAGGGTTCGTTTCCGTGGAGACAAGCTCAGCACAAAACATCCAGACCATAAAGACAGAAGCCAGCGCATGGTCAGCAAACACACAGACCCCCCCCCCTCTCTCTTCAAAACAACACTGGATGCCAAAATTAGACATTTTTTCCAAAGTATAGCTTATCATAGGAAAGGCTTGGGTCACTGATCAGCCAAAGACACAGCAATCAGTTAATCAGTGTTAATCAGTACAAAAGATCAACGAAATTCAAGAGATATTACAGCATATTTATAACTGTAATAGCATTCCATGCTCTGCTAACCCCATTAACCCTTTGTGTACTCATATATTTATAGTGGTGAGTGAATTTATTGTAGTTCCAGAATAATTTAAAATAGTTGCTAAATAATTCATAGTAATTATGGAAATATTCTTATTAGTAACTCAACAATTACTGAAAATGTACTGAATAACCTATAGTAGATACTGAATAATTCATATTGGTCACTGTATAAATCCTAGTTGTTACCGAATAAATAGCACAGCAGCTATACTTTACACTGTATAGAATAGAAATGGTATGAAATTAATTACAAAATCACATTACTTTGACTTACATTAAACCTAAACAATGTTTCTGCCTGTAAAGTTAGCACTTTGGAGATCCTTTTCTTTTTTTACAATGATAGAGTGTAGCACTATATAGGTTAAAACAGTCAATCATTCTAAATCAATACAAAAGATCAAAGAAATCCTACAGAAGCTACAGCATATTTATTATTGTAAAAGCATTTGATGGACTGTTAATGCTTTAAACCCTGTGTGCTCAAACCTTCCGTTTTGCACCCACCTCACTTACTACATAACTCATTAAAATATATAATATATAGTAGCTACCAAATAATAAGCTTTAAGATTAATAACTGAACAGTAAGACTGTAGTTTAAGAGGATAATACATTACCTTTTAATTATATTTTCTTTTTGCATTTTTCAGTAAGAGTAAGCTGATTCAACAACTGATTCAGCAACGTCTACAGAAACACACCTGATTCTACACCAACACTGGGCCAAGATCTGCCAACACCTCAGAGCCTCTGTGGTAAGCTTCCCTTTCAACCCTAGGCTTTTTGTTCAGTTATTCATCTTAAAATAATACCTCAGATTTTTTCTACCTGATCTCTTTATGCCACATCTATGGTAAATGGTCAATTACAATGGACAGTAATTGTGAAAAGAACAGTAAATCCACTGACTTGAAAAAGACTTATAATAGAAGCCACTGAGCAGTCGCTTCATTAACTGCCTTCTGACTTCATATTATAAATGTGTTTAGAGTGAACAGGTTTCTGTTTTCTTCATCTTATTGATTACAAATAAACACAGGTTACAAATTCCTGGTACATTAGCTTCCTCTGTTTGGACGTTCTGTCAGTTGTTTTGGTTGAGAGCATCTGCTAACTGACTAAATGTAAATGTAACATGTGCGATATGTAGTTATGAAAGCAAGAAAGTAAAGTGTTGATCCAATACGGACCTTTGGGGTTTAAAGGGTTAAGCTGAGACTACAATGGCCAGAGTAAGGAATTGTATGCGAGTCGTTCTTAAGCTCTTTATAGCACACCTGACGATGGACTCAGCAGGATGTGACACGCCTTGCGCAGTCTTTCAGTGAGAGCACAATCATGAAATAACTCAGTCTAGCATTCCAGTGGATGACGGTGCAACAATGAATCAACTACTCAAAGGAAATTTCACCTTTTTTTCTGCATGGTTTGGCATGAAATGCTACACAGCAGAGAAAATTACCAACTCAGATTTCTTTACAGTGGTGATGATGGGCAACCAGGGGTCGTCATGTCTACAACACAAGACTGATTCTGATAATAGTAAAATAGTGGTAAATCTGAAGTCTTCTTTCGGGACTATTCTGCCTTACAATGCCCTGCTGTAGATCTTAAAAATATTTTTTGGACCAAATTCTTAGCTCAAACCTGTCGCAAAACAATGCCTCAGGAAAAGAGTTCATTTCATTTAATAACCTTCTGTGGTTAACCTTCTATTAAACTCCTCAGATGTCTGGTTCCCATCACCACCACTGTAAAAAGTTCTGAGTCACTATGTTCCTCTACTGAACGTTTGATGTGAAATGCTCTGTAAAGAAACCGTTTCTTTAGAAGTTTGCATCAGTTCAAGGAACATCTAGATCACGTGTGTCGGGCTCCAGTCCTCGCAGGCCTAAACACTGCAGACTTCAGTACACTGCTTCATTAAACACACCTGATTCAGCTCATCAGCTAATTAGCACAGCCTTCATGAACTGAATTCAGAGCTTTAGATGAGGGTAAACGCTAAACTCCACAGCACTTTGGCGCAGATGGTCCCCAGTTTGACATGTCTGATCTAGATGTTCTGACACCATAAAAATCCAGAAACACGGGTTCTCCATTTAGAACCATGAGTGAAATCGTTCTTCAGACTGATGGAGAATGTGTTGTATATGGTTCTATACAGAACCCTTTTGAAGATGATTCTATATAGCACCAAAATGGGTTCCTCTATTGTCACGATGTCAAGCTTGTAACAATAGAAGAACCCTCTTTTGGTGCTGTTTAGAACCATTTTCAAAACATACAACACATTCTCCAACAACCTAAACAACCATTTCACCATGTAACGAACCATTTAAGCATGCAAATGGTTCTACATAGAACCATTTCCTTACTAAATAACCCTCGAAGAACCATCTTTTTTGGGCAAAAACAAGCAAATATCAAGGGTAATTCACTGAGGAATATGAAACATCCTCAGTAAATTACCCTTGATATGAGCTTGTTTTGCTGTTTTTTGCCCTAAACTCTTAAAAAAAAGGTGGTTCTTCAATGGTTCTTTAGGGAATGATTCTATTTAGAATCATGAGTTCTAGACAGAACCATGTCATGCTTAAATGGTTCTCTGCATGGTGAAATGTTTTTTTTTCACATTGATGCAGAACGCTTTTAAAGATGGTTCTATATAGCACCAAAAGGGTTTCTTCTATTGTGGTGATGTCAAGCTTGTAACAACAGAAGAACCTCTTTTTGGTGCTATATAGAACCATTTTCAAAGCAGACAACACATTCTCCATCAATCTGAATAAACATTTTACCATGTAAAGAACCATTTAAGCATGCAAATGGTTCTATATAGAACCATTTCCTTACTAAATAACCCTTAAAGAACCATCTTTTTGGGCAAAAGCAGCAAAATAAGCTCATATCAAAGGTAATTCACAGAGAACTATGAAAAATCCTCAGTAAATCACCATTGATATGAGCTTGTCTTGCTGTTTTTTGCCCTACACCCTTGAAAAAAGATGGTTCTTCAAGGTTTCTTTAGTAAAGGAAAGGGAAAGAACAAGGTTTCAGTCTGCCAGACTATCTACAGTGCTTTACTGAGCACATGAGAAGGCCAAATGACTAATCCAGCAGAAATGCATCAGTTTATACCTGCGAAAGCGCACTTTGATGCTTCTGTCATCCAGCAGCTTTAGACTGTTTCTTCTTTTTACCATGTTCACCATCATGACTGACTTATAAACACTTCCTTTAGCTGCTGTTGGACTGTATCTCTATTTTATGCTATTAAAGGTTCGTTTTTTCCTCCCCTTCAGGCGATAAAAGCCTAGCAGGAGGCAGAACGGTGGAACAGACATTGCTTAAGTGCCCACACCCTGCAAGGGATCAGACGAATACAAGCGACTAGAGCACCACAGCAACACTTGCCAAGTAAAAACGCCCGAGCCGAGCTTCAGGCTGCAGTGTAAACCAGTCTGCACACTTCAGTACTGGCAATATGCGCGTGTTTATTAGATGTAACGTGGTTTCGCGGTTGTCTTACAGGCTGCTGCTCAACAGGCTGTACAGTAGAGCGCAGTTCGCTTCCATATGGACACCTGCCGCCTCGGTACTCCAGCACTTGAGCGGACTATCGCTTTAATTCGCATCAAATAACCGTGTCGTATCAGCTACTCACCTTCCTCGCTCGTTTAGCTCCTAAAAGTTCCCCAAAAACGACGTGTTTTTTATGCTCACCGGCTCGCTCCTCGCCGCGAGCCTCCTTAAAGGAGTAAAGAAAATGAACCTACTGATAATTTCTAAGCACGAAGCATCTAAACTGCAGAAACTGCAAAAAAAAACAGTGTCTTTATCTCACTTCGTAGCAGTTTCTCCTTCTACTGGCGAGCAGCACCCTCCTCGACGCGCTCTGGAAATTGTGGGCGGGGCCACTGGCTTAGCCCCTCCCCGCGACCAACCCGTCACCAGCAATCAATCTATCAGTGGAGGTCCACTTAGAGGAGCATGTTCAAACGCTCTCCTGTATGTCCCACTGTTTCCTTTGAAATCAAGGGTACTGATAGGGAGTGTTCACCCCTTCGATGTAATAACAGCCTCTGCTCTTCTGAGAAGGCTTGATGTTCAGACATTACTGTGCAATTTCAGCCAAGAGCATTAGTGAGGTCAGGTACTGATGATGGATGATCACTTCTGGATCACTTTAACTCATCCAAAATGTAGATGGAGCTCTATCACTCAGGACAACATAGTTCTACTGCTCCAGAGCCAGGGCTGGGGGCTTTATCATACCCCCCTAGACAACGCTTGCAACTGGTACTGTTCTATAGAGAGAGTTTGAGTTTTAAAGTAATGTCAAATGGACATAAATGGACAGTTATGAATAGACAATTCAAAGAATGGAATAGAATAGTACAATAAAACAGAACAGAATAGAGTATAGCAGAATATAATATAATAGAATAGAATAGAACAGTGTACAACAAAATAGAACAGAGTACAACAGAACAGTGTACAACAAAATAGAACAGAGTACAACAGAACAGAGTACAACAGAATAGAACAGAACAGAGTACAACAGAACAGAGTACAACAGAATAGAATAGAACAGAATAGATCAGAGTACAAGAGAATAGAATAAAATAGAATAGAATAAAGCACAATAGAGTAGAACAGTGTACAGTAGAATAGATTAAATCAGAGCACAATAGAATAGAATAGAATAGAATAGAATACACTAATTGACTAGCCAAGGCAGGAAAATATGCACAATATACATTAATACATATGAATATATTCATAAAATAGTAATGCATCAATAAATTATAGCAATTAGTTAATCTGCAGTAAGAGCAAAATATTTATTTTGCCTCTTTTTATTTCCTAGTGTTATAGGAAATTAAGCTCAGAGCACAGGGGGTCTCTGTTTAATATTTATATAATAATATTAATAATATTAATGCTAGTCAGTGCTTTCCTGTATATTGTTATGCTGTATAGGAGTTTTGTTGGCAACCTACCTTTTCCAACTTTTTAAGCAAGTTACAGGGATAAACATCTCTGCCCCAATATCCCTTTGAAAAAAACAATGGCTAAAGAAGGGCTAAACATTTGGCTCCAGCCAACAAATAGCTGTGCCTCAACTTCTGGCTTGCATAGAGAAGTATTAAAAGGTAGTTTCTCTGAACAAACAACAATGCCCATTTCCAGGTAAGCTAGATAAAACCTTTGGTAAAGTGTCATCTAGATGTCTGATAGACTGATGCATTCATATTTGCACAGAGCAGCAAAGTAAGCAGATCTGAAGCATAAGGTCGTCCTCACTCGTAAAGTGTCACTCTAGTCCCTACACTAAAGACGTATAAGTATATTTGAACATGTTAGCAGTCAGCCAAGCTTAATACGGTAGGCCCAGGTCTCTATTATGCTTAATCAGGTTATGTTAAACAAAGGTAAGCTTGAGTTGGCCAACAGGCCAGATATATACTAATCAACAAAGCCTGAAACATACGGGATAGGCAGGTGCCCCACAACTGATATCTAGGTATTGGGGCTGCGTGTTTAATATCAGTTCCTGGCGCAAGCTTTGCATATTGCTCGTGAATATGTTATTGCAGTACCATCTGATATACTCTGCATTTATTTCCATATACTGCATTAAAACATACTCAGCATTGAAGAACTTGTGCAGTTGAAATTATAAGTAATCTTCCACAACCAATATGCTTTTATCATAAGTATAAATCAAACAACTCATTTCATTTGCATTAAAAGTAAACTGAGAAAAGCAACAATGGTGCTATCAAGCTTAAGGAAGGGTTGGTGGTGTGTCAATCATTATAGCAGGGACGTTTTTTTGCTATAGGTGATACAAACAGTCACTTAAGGCCCCGAGCAACAAAAGAGCCCACAAGTATGTATAATTTATTAGGGGTCCAAGCTGCTAAGACACTGTAACCTTTCTGGATGTGTGCTAATTATTATTCTTCTTTTTCCAGTCAAAGTTTTTTGGCAACTGAAACCAAAAGGAGACTAAACTTCGTAGGTACACTGTAAAGAATGGCTCATCAGATCTACCTAAAAACATTACTTCATGTGGTAACAAGCAATGAAACTCGTTAATTTAGTTGTTAACACAAAGTAATTTTTAAGGTAGATCTGATGAGCCACTTTTTACAGTGTAGGTCTCAAATTCCACCCACTGCTCAGGCAACTGCAATGACACCTTCTCACCCCAAAGTGATGCTGTAATAAGGGCTTTTACAGTTTGGTTGATATCTCTCTTATCTCTGTTACCATATGTGCTATGAATCTTACTTCTAAAACATATTTTTGACCTCTCATTCAGGACCAATTTGCCTGAAATTTGGTGTCCAATTCCATGTCCTGTTATGCTAGTAAGCTGGTAGTGTGAAGGCTAAATGATAGCATTTGTAATACTGAGGAAGACTAAAAAAATAATAGTACAAAGAGAAATTTAAAAGCTCATAGAGGAGAACATTTGAAGCATTTTTCATTCAAAAATAATCTGGCTTTGTTTAGCTGTTCAGTGCAGACATACATATTAAGAACTGATAAAATATGCATGTATGGCCAATTTAAAGTGAACAAAAATGGATTCTGGGTACTGTATATACATTCATCAAACCAAGGAATTTTTTTTTGTTATTCAGTGTTACCTTCCCTTCAGAAGAGCAAATGCTAAGGATAACACTGCATCTAGTCAGAGCAATGTTATAGGCTGAGGAGGACTCATCTTGGTAGGTTTGGCAAAGTTTAATGAAACAATACAAAGAATAGCATGTGTACGAGTGAGAGAGTGAAGGCTAGCATTTCCTTTGAATCACGTGAAGCCAGTCACTGCATCTTGTCAAACTGCCACTAACGCAATACAAGCAGACAGCTTAGTGTACTTGGAGGAGAACACTGTCAATTCTGTTTTATCAGCTAACGATGTCAGCATTGGCTAGCATCTCACTGGGCGATAGGGGAGAGAGTGAGGCCCCTAGCTACACATGACTGTGGCATCACTGTAAACAGAATTCCCAATCCCTTAGTGCAGCTCTGGTCCTGCACGGCTGCTGTCTATCATTGTTTGGTGATCTCCTTGCTCAAACACAACCCACTGGACAAGTTTAATAGATGGTTTTTGAGTAGGACAATTAGCAAATTGTGCTGGACCCAGGACCTCCAGGGTCAGCGTCACTCCGCAAGATGGGGCCAACGCTTACATGGCTGGGCTACTCAGGAGCGTGTTTGAGAGAGAATGTTAACAATTGGCCGTAGGACATACTGTTTGGCTGCTAAAGGCCTATTATTTATTTGGGCTTACCTCATACGACCAATATCTTGTTATCAAAACATCCAACTTGGTATGCTTTTTCTCAGAAGTCTCACATGCACCAGACTATATGAGGTGTAATGTTTGTGGGGTGCGTTTGAGGTCACTTAGGCACTAAAAGAGTTCTAGATACCAGAACCAACAGACCATGATGCATGTGTTGAGGCTATAACTGCTCCGTTTACCCTGTCATTGATCTGTAGTCTGTGATTACCTAACTTAGGTGAGATAGCAGCCAGTCTTCCAAGGCGAAATGTGTGGGTCTTTTTGCCTCAGAGCTTTCATTTCTAATTTTGTTCATTAGAGACAAAAAAGCTGTATTTTTGGTCATTTGGTTAACAGCCAAGGGTCCACTAACCAAAACCCACAAACAGAGACTAACCCCTTAGAAGGAGGACTATAAAATCTGAGTGTTAGTTTGGAGGCCCAGGCCCAGGGTCTTTTAATCAAAACCTGTAGCCATGGTTGAAAAGAAATTGCAATTGCTTTTGTAAGCCAAATTTCGATCAGCTTAGGGTTCCCAAGGTCATTGGATGGGAAGTTCTGGTGTAGTGTGTGAATGTTTGTAGTCTGTTTATAAGTGGGAGAGCTGGAAAGGCTTAAACCCTGTTATTAGAATCACACAACCAAAGTTTGGAATAAAAAAGTAGATATTTCCAGAATGCTGAATGAAGCTGGAGATTAAGTGACAGTGAAAGCTGTAGAACATTGAGAATAAAGCTGTAATCCAGAATGTTCCGTACAGCATGCAACTCAATGAAAAATGACTATATATGTATAGTTATAGTACATAAAACAATTTAATAAAGTCTTGTTGCCACTACAAACATCTAAAATTAACTTTAGGTGTCCAGTATATATCATATTGTGTATGTGTGATTCCAAACTTTTGAATGGTAGTGTACATAAGCTCCCCTTCACAGTTGTAGTGTCAATACCATACAGCTTCCAAAACAGACCGCAATTGATGGATAGCATTTTAATGAATGCTTAATTCTTTCAGGAATAAACAGTGAACAATGTCAGGTTGAAAAGGAGACTGGAATAAGTTTTCTTATTGGACACAGGAAGATTTAAAACCCCAAAACCATGACCTAACCTTGGCTGAAGACCTTCCACAGTTGAGCAATCAAAGGCTTGGCTCTGACACACCACAGCCTGAAATCCAATAAAGCAGAAGAGAGATTTCAAGGACTCAGCCATATATTGTACAATAAAAAACAGGTATTTTGTCACTACATCTGAGTCAGACACTGCTGTTTAGTGCAGTGCACCACTTTATGTCTCTTTCCCACTTTTTCTCCCTCTCCAAATTCAGACTCTGTATGTGGTTGATAAGTATCTCAGCCCTGTTCAGACCAACTGATGGATAACAAAACAATGAAGGGGAATTCTACTAATTTTTCAAAATTGCTGCATAATCCAGTCTTTGAAGTTTAAACAAAATCATTCAATGTTTAAAGTGTTTTGATGGGAAATGTTCCACTCTAGAGAATCTTACCGACTTAGATTTTCTTACAGTGGTGGTGATATAAAAAAAAATAAGACACCTTGTCTACAGCGTAAATATAGCTTTTTGTAGCTGACTGAGAAATTTGAAAGAAATTTGAGTAAAAGTATACATGCACTGAGAAATCTCATGATTTAGCTAAAATCCAGCTCTCTTTATCAGATTTCTAGACCTTACTTCGATCTAAGAAATTAGAGTATGTTGTTTACATGACCATTTGAATAATCAGTTAACTGCAGAAATCCAATTATGATAAAAACTTTCTGTGAGGGAGCTTTCAGAGGCATTAAACTCTTCAGAAGTCTGGTTCCTATCACCACCACTGTAAACAATTCTGACTCCCCAAGTTTCTCTGGAATAAAGCATTTCACATCAAACCTTACTTGTTGTTTACAATTTAACCATGTAATTAAATTAAATTCTGAAAAAATCAAAATCCATAAAAAAACAAACAGCAATCTAAACTTCAGAAGTGCTGAAAACTGACCACATAAAAAGAAAACAGCTTTTAACGCTACGCGAAAACATAGCCTAGAAAAATTCCTTTGAAATTCTGTTTAAAAAAAAAAATTAAAAATAGGAAAACTCCCTTCCCACTTTTTTATGTACTCACAAAAATTAACCAAATTCCTGAAACATGCAAACTGACGAATACTATCTATATTAAAAGAAAATACTTTTTAGCACTTAAGATGGAAAGAAATTTTGCAACTGGCCAACAAAGTTTATAATGCAAGAAACTGTTTTTTACATCATGTAAAACATATTACACCTCTACTTATAATACTAAAAACAAAACAATTTAAATAATCCCATGAAACTTTGTAACAAATGCTCAGAAAAAAATCTTCTCTGTGTGTTCCTGTCTAAAAACAATAACTAACTTAAAAGACTACACTTCTTTGCTGTGAGTCACCAGCCCCTTGGTTGCCGTGGCGATGGGCATTTGGTGTTTGTGATTGGCCGGGTCGCTGGCTTCCCACAGCCTGCAGAACTCGTCCTGAAAGGGCCGCACCAGTCCCGGGTCTTCTGTCACTATCACGTTCTCCTTGTTGCTCTGGACGGCGGTGGCGGTCCAGTTGAGGGAGCCGGTGATCAGCTTTCTTCCGTCCACCAGCGCAAACTTATGGTGCATGTGTACCACTTTACTCAGCTCATGCCTCACGCAGATACCTGAAACAACAAACAGAGCCACAATTAGAATCTAGCAGACGTAGAATCAATGTTTACAAAAACAGCTGTAAATGATTCTAATATGATTGTGAAAGTTGAAGAGAATGAATTTAAAATAAATTTAAGTTTAATATTCAAAATGCTTCATATTTCAGTAGTGGTGATCAAATCGTGAGGCAAATGACTCAACAAGAAATGTCTATAAATAGATAAAGTAATTTGTTCTTTAAGAACTTTACCAAAAACTTGAAATAGTAAATAAAGCATCTAAAAATACCCTATGGACTGTAGTATTGAATACAATTCTGTAAGAGAAAGAGAAATTATTGCAAATATCTCTGGATACTTGAGAATAACCTGTGGTTTATACAATTGTATGCAAACGTTTGAACACCCCGGTCCAATTACGTTTTCCTATTATTCTAAGTTAAAATAAGTTAACAGAGAACAAATTTAAATATGACATTTCTCTGCATATTTTAGTCCACATTTTTTTTTTTGGCTCCGTTTTACATATTAGAAAAAAATTAAACATAAAATTTGACATAACGTTTGCACAGGCCACATGCATATTTTACTGTTTTCCCCAATATGTTCAATTCAGCAAAAAAACAGTAAGTATGTATTAAAATGTGCAGAAGTGTGTTCTTTATAAAAGATTTGTTATTTTCTTGTAGACAAGCAACAAAACATGTCATTTGAATGTGATGCCCAAACTTTCGCATACAACTATATCTTACACATACAGTATTTACCAGTAGGGACTATCAGAGAAAAGGAGGGACTAGGTGAAGAGCACATTACTCAAACGCAACCCACAGTTTAATTTAGTTTAGTTCCCCTCATCTCCTCATCCTTACAACAGATTAGATTAGGCTGTGTGTAGAAATCAAGCTTTAATTCGCAAAGTCAAAGTCAAAGCTTATTTATATAGCGCTTTTTAAAACAGGTGTTGTCACAAAGCAGCTTTACAGAAAAATCCAGGTCCGAGCCCCCATGAGCGTTGCCAATGGCAACAGTGGCCAGGAAAAACTCCCTAAGAGTGAAAGAAAGAAACCTTGGGAGGAACCAAGACTCAAAAGGGGAACCCATCCTCTTTTGGTCGACACTGGATAGTAATACTCAAAACCTCATTAGGTGACATCATCAGTTTAGATAACTCATCAGAATGTCTGTACGAATGTGGTCCACATCTGAACAACCTGGTTGGAATGATATTTTTGTTGTAGTCAGGTGTGACATTGTTCTTCTTAATCAGAATTGATAGATTGTGTTGCATCAGTCTCTTGTACCAGTCTGATATCAAAAGATTGACATGGTTTTCCATGTAACACAAAATGTAGTCAATCAACCAAGACGTTTGGAAGTTTACTTGCTTGAGTTTCTTGTTAGTTACAATGCTAACAAGACACACAAGCTAACAGCGTACCAATTAGCATCATGCAAACTGTAAACATTACACACTTGCCTCAAACCATCTGGAGTCGTTTCAAATACTGTTTTCTGACACTGTATGACTGTATGCCATACTGTTATTCAGCGGCGAACCATGACTATTAAATCTACATCTTCAGTTCAGGCCATAAATTTCAAAATTCAGTCAAAAAATGAAAAAAAAAAAAGTTACTTTCTGCTAGCGCTCTCAAGCAGTTTCTAGTATGTTAGCCCTAAGCTAACACTGGTGCACACAAACGTTTTGAAGCTTGTAAAAGACATTCCATATGTTTTATTTGAAACTCTTAACAGATGTTAACAGATGTTTGACCTTGTATGTAGCAGTTTTACAGCGACTCTTTCAGTAAAGCACCCTGGTATACAGCTGTCGCCTCTGTTTTCCATTTCTAACAAACCTGGTTAGGTTACTGTTCGTATTCACAATCACTGACGTATCTAAGGGTGCTTTCACACCTACCACGTCTAGTACAGACCTGTCAAGCTTTTTTTTAATTCAGTCTGTTTTTTACTGGAGTGAAAACTCCACCTGTACTCAGACACACATCGAAAAACAACCATGGTCCGTCACAAATCGAGGGTCTTGGTCCCCTTGCAAATGAACCCTGGTTCAGTTTATCAGATTAGTCCTGGTTGGAACAGATTTTTATGATGGGCTGCACCAAACTAGGCCTACAAAGCCCTGAGGGTTCCCCTGCTGTTATCCATAAAAAATGTGCAGAAGCACAGACAAAATTCCACCTTTGAGTTGCTACTTCTGCTTTTTTTGTGACATACTTTTATGCATTTTAATAGCTGTATGTGCCAGAAATCACCTCGTTTTAAAGAGCTTGTAGAAAACAATCATCTGGCTCCCTGGCTCCTGGTGCAGCTTGCAGAACTGATGACACTGTTTACTGTAATAATAAATGCAGTACAAGACAGCACATGCTGAGGCAGCCTAGTGTTGTAATCAAAGTTATGTGCACTCCTGGGTCTGTCTGATGTAGTAGTGACTGTTTGATACATCTGTATAAGCTGTAAACATCTTTGGTTTTCTGGAGCTACAAGGCTCACCAAGGCTCACCACCACTGTTTTTAGTTACGCAATGTACTTTTCTAGGTAATGTTTACAGATAACAGTATGTCATACAATGTCAGGAAGCACATAAATAAGTCTAAATGAGATTGCTAAACAACTCAACATGGTTTAAGGTAATCCTATGATGACTTAGTTGTTTTAATGTATTTGAGCCCATTGTACAGTGTGAAAACTGCAGTGCCTGAAGAGCCTGACCGTTAGCTGCCATCTTAAATCAGTTTATAGAGTATTCAGGATTTCATGCAACTTCCTGATTTTCAGATAATCCTCATAGAAAAGCTGTGATTGTTTTAAGTAATATAAAAACAATCTGGTTTCAGGAAAGTGTATAAAATGACTCTAGCAGGCAGTTTGTACAGTGCTTATTGGCTTCCATTACTTGTTAACCGAAGTTGCGTGCAAAGGTTTGGGTTGAATTCCATGTTTTGTTGATTTTCTATCATCATGGAACATAGTATCATTACTTCAGTACTTTAGCTACAGCAGTTAGAATTCAGTTTTTCATTTAGAAGTATTTAATTATTTGTGTTTTTGCCTATTTAGGAAGTTTAAGTTATTTAGTATTTAACGTGTATACAATATTAATGTCTAGAAGCCCATTTCAGTCAAATCTGTCATCAGCTTTGTTTACAGAATGAAAGCCAGATCTGACTACTTAAAATTTATTTGAGTTCTTTTTACATTTTATCATTGTGTTAATAGTTATTTCTTTTTAAGAGAAAAAGAAAGAAATTGAAACATTACTTCAAAATATTAAAATGGTTTTACTGAAAATAAAATGTCTTATTTTTTATATTTTTTGTATTGCATTGTATTGCTGCACAATGTTGCCTCAAGGCAACATACCCTAAAAGGAACCCTGCAAACAGATTAAAATAGTTTTCGTTTTTATATAGCCATTTCATGTAATAATTTGTAGTGATGGAACTTTTAGAGGTATTAACATCTGGTTCCTATCACCACAACAGTGAACAATTCTAATGCGAAATTCTGCATTTCACATCAAACCAATCTGAATGACCTTGTTCACATCTTTGAATTTATTTGATGAAAGAAAAATCGTTGGAATTGCCCTCTACGTTCCATATCTATTCTAAGTGTTAACGTTTCACTTAGAAAATCAACACCGGCCTTGTAGGTCCAGTGCAAAACTAAGGAAGCAAACTTCAGACACTAAATATGCCCTGGCAGATCAACTATGGGGGAAATAGAGTACATTTGATTTAACAACCATGGCCAGTTTAATTTGAAACTCCGGCCACTAAAAGCTGCAGCTGACCTTTCAGAAGTTATAGGATTGATTTTGGGTTGCTAGATTTGATTATTCCTCATTGCAGGTCTATTTCAGGGTCTGAGCTTCAGCCTCTGCCTTTTTAGTCTGACTCAGAAGCCAAAATGCAATTGGATGCAATTTAGAAAGGTACCGTTTATTCCCAAACCTAATGAGCCTCAGCACTTTAAGCCCTTTTCGCAGTCCATACATTTCTGCTGCTGAAAATGCCTGATGTTCTAAAGCTGTTTGGAGGTAAGCTGGGAGATCAGTGTAAAGCGGGTGGAGAAACTCTGGTTATTTAAGAGTGCTGAGTCATATGGATCTGAAGAACACTGCAGCACATTGTATAGAGAGCCAACACCAGTCAGCGAGTTCCAGCACTGACACTCATCATCTCTCAATTACTACATTAACTTAAACCCAAAACCAGGCCACGAAATGTGACAGATGGTCAAGGTTTTACATTTACACTGAGAAGTCAGGCAATTTAGCAGTGCTAGTTGTCTTTTTTCATCTCAGCTAACATGACTTGCCTACTCACATTTACATTTATGACATTTGGCAGACATTCTTATCCAGAGTGACATAAAATTTGATCATTTTATTGAGGTAGGCGAATGCAGTTTTGGGAGTCCTGCCAAAGAGCTTTCTGGTTTAGCTCCACTTACATACATTTTACCCTAAGTACCTGTACAATACAACCACTAGTCTGCATTTGAGCTAACGTTTTGAACGAATCTGGTCAATCAACTGTCACAGATATGGATGACTGAGTATAATGATAAGCATGGGTGTATTTGTGTGGATGGGTGGAAGGGAAATAAATAAATCTCATTTAATGATAATTAAAAATAAACAAACAGCCAATCAGAGGCCCAGAATTACTCAGTCAGTGCATTAAATTGCCCCTGGGAAAGGCCTTGAGCGTTTTAGTATAATGTGACTCAGGTCCCAAAGGTCATCATGAAAATTAACACACACGAACACACCACCACCATATCAGTATTACTGCAGTGCTAAGAATGATCCACCACCCAAATAGTTCCTGCTCTGTGAGGGTCCATGGGGTCCTGACCACTGAAGAACAGTACAAAAGGGGGCTAACAAAGTATGCAGAGAAACAGATGAACTACAGTCTGTAATTGTAGAACTACAAAGTGCACCTATATAGTAAGTGGAGCTGATAAAATGGACAATGAGCGTAGAAACAAGGAGGTGGTCATGATGTTATGCCTGATTGGTGTGTGTTCTCTGTAGATGTGTTAACGTGTTTCACTTAGAAACCAAAAGACATGTCATGTGACTGGGGTTTCACTTATAGTGTACGACTGTAACTGTAGTTAAATATAAAGTAACAATCGACTCATAAGTGATTCCAAACTTTTGAATGGTAGTGTATGTGAACCAGATGCCAGAAACTGCTGTTGCAGTGCTGTACCTGCCCTGCGGAGGGCGCCAATCTGAGAGCCGCTGATGCTCATGTAGTCTCTGTCTGTGAGCACTCGCACTGCCACACCGCGACTGTGTAACAGCAGCACAGCTCTGCTCAGCTCCATGTGGGAAAAGGAGAAAACACACAGGTCCAGAGACACAGACGCAGAGAGGAGGTGCACCAGGAGCCGGGTGAAGGGGGTGTCGAGGCTGTGGGGGAGGGGACAGGAGCTGTGGGAGGAGCAAAGAGTTTAAAATCAACATGAATCAGAAATCATAACACATTTTCTCTACAGGCCATGATGTATTTCTGAGTGAATCACTGTATCAGAGAGGGTCTCTGAGCTAGCTGAGTGTTTTCTCTCCATGATAAATGAGGGCTTTAAATGATATGATCCGGTGTTTTGTGCTTAATATGATCAGGGACATTTGATTTCAGGTTGACCTAAGGTGTAAAGATATGCAAATTTTACAACATGACCTACTGTGGTTATACATGGTTACACATATATAGCTATACACACCGATCAGGCATAACATCATGACCACCTCCTTGTTTCTACGCTCATTGTCCATTTTATCAGCTCCACTTACTATATAGGTGCACTTTGTAGTTCTACAATTACAGACTTGTTGTAAATTTAATTGTTGGTTAAATTTAAACAATTTTAACAGTTGGGACATTTCATTATTAATCAATAATACATAATAAATTCTATACATATATGTATACATATATATTTCCCCCATACACCCACACACACGCTCACACAATATTTGCACAAAACATTTAATCTGATAACACGTCATGACCGTAAACTCAAGTTTACCACTAGTATTTATGACTTTGTGAGCCATTTGAGTGCAATGGCCTTGTGGTAAACTTAGAGGGTCATGAGTTTACGAGCACTGTCGAAAGAAACCACAACAGGTGGGGACTGAGAAACGGCTGAGAAGGAAGAGACTGATGGGTGTAATCAAGATACGTTTAAGTCTCTTTCGTCACTGGTGGTAAAACTGGTACACCAGTTTAAGTCTCTTTTGTCACTGATGGTAAAACTGGTACACCAGTTTAAGTCTCTTTTGTCACTGATGGTAAAACTGGTACACGAGTTTTACCATCATTCCACTGGCTGCCTGTCTCATTTAGAGTCAAGATAGATAGGTAGATTGTTTTAATAGTTTTTAAAGGTCTTAGTGGATTAACACCCTCATGCCTTTCAGAATGCCTGATGGACTTTGTTCCAGATCAGGTCTTAAGGTCATCGAGTGCTGCTTTATTGAATGTTCCCAGATGAAGCATAATAAGACTTCTGAAGCAGCTTAATGTTACTGTGCACCAAAGACTTCTACTCTTACGAGTTTAAAAAAACAGCTGAAAACATTTTTATTCAGTTTAATATTTTATAAGTTGTTTTTTCTTAAATGTTGCTCATTTTGTGTTTATTTAGAATCTTTATTCATTTTATTATTTTAAATTTTGTTTTTATTCAGCTTTCTAATTTAATGCTGTTTCTCTTTTATTACTGTTAACGTTTTCTTTTGATTTGTTGTCAACGGTTTTACAAACATGGCCTTACTGTTTCATTTAATTATTATTATTATTATTATTATTATTATTATTAAAGTACAAGCCTAAAGTTGGCTGATTAGCTATCTTGCTTCCTAGCAGTCGATACTTAATAGCTCCCAAACGATGACAATGATTGTGAAACCTAACAACTGCAGAAAATAACTACAGTCAGCTTAAATAACTGCTATTAGCTCACACAACTGTGATCAGGCGATTACGTGATAACTGTGACAGGCCTACCTGCAAATCAAGTTTTCTATTTTCTTCATTTTGATTTTATCAAAAACAAACCTGTACCTGTTCCTACCTGTTCCACAACGTATCATAAACTGTTTGGCTGCAAAAAATAAACCTATCTGCATCTATGAAAAGTCTGGATATGCACATGTTAACTTAGCATTGACAGCAAACGCAAGCCAGTCCTTATCATAACCAACAAGAAACCTACAAGAGAAGCGGATTAAGATGTGCTTAAAATGACTAGTTAAACTAAAAATCTGAAAAAATGGAACTGCATGCAATTTCATGCAACTGTTCAGCCCCCCCCCTTGGAGAAGACCACCAGACTGGTAAGCCCCGAGGTAATTTGTGTTTGAGGTACGGCATCAGGGCATCAAATAAAGAGAATTTTTGCAGGCTTTGGGAATTAACACATTTTAAAATCCATGCATTGTAAGTCTATATCAGGGGTGCACAACTCCGGTCCTGGAGGTCTGGTGTCCAGCACAGTTTGGAGGTTTCCCTGCTCAAAACACACCCACTAAACCTGGCAATTAACAGTTAAGTGTAATCAGGTGTGTATGAGTAGGTAAAACACCAAACTGTGCTGAAACACCAGCCCTCCTGGAACGGACCCCTTATTTATATTATCCTTTTTTCCAGTTTCTAAATTTCCAGACCTTATTTAGGCTTTAAACCAGTGTTTTTTTTTCAACCCAGGTACTGGACACCCACTGCCCTGCACACTGTAGTGCTTTTCCTGTTTAGCACAACCACTTTAACTCAAAAATGGGCTGTTAATGAGCTGATTAGCTGAATAAGGTGTGTTGGGAGCAGAGAAAACAATAACAAGTGCAGGGCAGTGGGCCTCCAGCACCAGGGCTGAGTAACACGGTTTTAAGCAAAAGTAAAGACTCAGAACAACAACAAAAAACATCTTAACTGGAATTAAATCCAGCACAATCCAGACATTTACTGAATGTAAATTATTGGTAAAACTGCGTTTGTTATTGGACAAGGAGATTTTGCCGTCAATGATCAATAAAAGGGATGTTCCAGTGCCTAAATGGCCTTTTTACCACGTAAGGGCCCTGGCTGGGCTGTACAGGTGCTCCACGCAGGTTATGGGGGAAGGGAAGAACAGGACTTCTTTCAGGGGCCCCTGGGGGCCTCTCCGGAGCCACAGGCGACGGGCCAGCCAGTCCAGCCACTCCACTCCTAATGTTAGAGCCACTGCCCCAAGCCCCAGCAATTTCAGCAGCTCTCCCAGAGACATCTGACACAGCAGAAAGAGGGGCACTAAAACATGATGCTTCAAAGTGAAGACTGAACTGGACAGGATCCGGCAAGCGAGCCAGCAGCTGCTGGCCAACATCCAAATAACTGCTGTACCTCAAGGAGAAAAGGAGAGAGCTAAGAAGCTGCCAGGATCAGGTTTCCCGGTCAGATAACCCGACTCTGTTTACAGTGGTGGTTCTTGGCTTCTGTAATCGCGCATATTTGGCTAATCTGGTGTCAGAGTTAGTTGCTAATTCTAGGTTGTTTTGGTTCAAGTTATAAATAGCAGGACGAAACTAAAGTTGGCTTGTTGCTCGAATTTTCCGTTCCACCTTAAATGGTGCAGCCGTTGCATTCTGGTTCATTTATTTAAGGTGGAACGGGAAAATTCGAATAAGAAGACAACTTCAGCCTGGTGATGGTTACCGTTAGCTCGAGCCATTTCCAAAACGAGTGTCCAAACGGTGAAACCATGTCATATTTTAGGTTATAAGAACTTAATCTACAGGTCAAATCCACTCAGACACAGAACCACCGGTGCGTTTACCTGCATGGCAACGATTCCGCCCTTATTACAGAGGCCTAACACAACTAACAGACAAGTTAAGTGGCGCCATCTAATGGAACTGGCAAGAAATGACACTGAGGCGTTGGGGGTGAACATAGAAAAACGTACCTAGACGCTGCGTGGTCTGTTGTTTGCTATCTGAGGCGATACGCCTGTGTGTCCGCCATATTGGAGAGGTCAAGATCCGGTTCTGAACAAATTCACTTGTATTGAGAGATGAGGAGTCTCTCAGGATTAAATCGATTTTCACCAAATTTTTGTTATAATCCTCAGACGTAGATTAATCTAGGCGCTCTCGGTAGTTTTTATCTCTTTAACAACTGATCCTGCTAATTAGCCGTTCGGACCAGCAGAAATGTATTCAGTCTGTACCTGACATTAAAAACCGAGTTTAGCACTCCGGTAGAAACACAATCTCACACACATCAGCAAATCCATCAGTGTGAATCATTTCTAATTTTAATACACATAACAATAACAAGCATAACAAGCTTAATATAAAACCAGAGGAAAAACAATCACATCAACAGGTTCTCTGTGCCTCACCGACCACACGGCCATATCTACACGTAAACATCACACAAACAATAAGCATCACACAAATCTGAGCGGACATCACTGCGTTCGCTCGATTGTATAATCCTATCCCGCTTTCCGAGAGCAATATTATTGAAATAGTATCATTTTGGACAGTATCTTACTTTAACTGCCGCTCTGTAATGGTACTAAATGCAGTCCAACAGCGATGTTGACCGCCCTAAAATGGCGGCGCCGTTGACGTGCCTGACTGGACCCAACGCAGCATCTAGGTATGTATATCTATGGGGGTGAAGTGCAGAACGGCGCCATCTGCTGGTTGCGATCGGAACATTATGACTCGCCATTCATTTCACCACAGAGAAACTTCTGGTAACGAAAAAATCGCTTAAAGCCGATTCTTTCATGAAACAGTCTTTTTGCGACCATAGAAGCACAGTAGCTACAAATACAATATAACAGAAGAACGTTTGGCTGATCTGTATAACTGTAAAAATCAAAACACAATTAAAGTACAAGTCCCATATTTTGGTAATACCTCATCGAAATCTCGTAGGGTAGCGAATATTTATAGGCAGAACACTTCATTAGAAAGTACTGTTAATATTAAAGCTATGGGTAGAATCTTTTTTTTTTTTTTTTTAAATCTAATTTTAATCTTGTCAGAAAATGCTACGAGCATTGAAACTACATCGGTAGGAGACTTTGGTAGCCAATAGTAATAATATTAACATTAAAGTCTGTTTAATGCACTTGAAGTTGGGCTGTATTAGCATTAAAAACACAACAAAACGTTAGAAAATCTGAGGCTGGATCTCAAATGGCTCCTTTCTCCCTACGTAGTGCGCTAGGTCATGAAATAATGGCTTCTGCACCTAAATGGTGCTTTATGTGTTGAATAGAAAGTCATTTATATTCAGCATTAACTGCACGACCCTCTGTCTCACATTTAGAACACTATGTGGGGGTAGAAGCCATAGTTTCATGACCTATGCAGTGCCCTTTGTAGGGAGTAGGAGCCTTGAGAGCCAACCTCCGACTATGAGCATGCGCAGTAGGAACGCTCAATGGTAGAACTGAACATTATGTAGAATGAAGCAGTTAAAATTCACATTGCTGTAGAAGCTGCACTTCTTATAAAGTGTGCTTACAACCTCATTACACAAAACCCAATATCTTTTGTTCATTTTGCTCAGTGCAAACAACCTATAAACATTAAAGGGCTCATATTCTACAGTTTCCTCCGGGCACTCCGGTTTCCTCCCACGGTCCCACTGACATGCAGTCAGGCCAGTTAGAAATGTTAAATTGCCCCTAGGTGTGAGTGAGTGTGTGACTGTGTATGTCTGTCTGTCTGCCCTGCGAAGGACTGGCGACCTGTCCAGGGTGTATCCTGCCTTCCGCCCAATGACAGCTGGGATAGGCTCCAGCACCCCACCGCGACCCAGGATGATAAGCGGTTTAGATGATGTATGTAAGTATGTATTCTACAATTGTCTCATATTTTATTGTTTCCCCTGAGGTCCACTCATGGCGTTTGTTTGATTTTATTAACCAAATCAGTCTTAATTTTTCAGCTTTACATGGCCGTGACCATTTTGCTTAGAATTAAACAGATTGTCTTTACTGTAAGACTAATACATGCAGATTACATCCGTTCTGATTGGCTGTCTTGTGTTGTGCCTCGTACATAAAGCACTGAAACACTCCTTATAACTTCAGCATAAATAGGCAGAGTTAAACTGCTGTAGGCTGAATTGGCAGATGTTTTTAATGCATTGGTTTTTGTGACATGATTTATGCATTGAAATAAAAATGTGCTTTGATGGGAAATTGTAGATAAATGTACTGACTCTACTGAACTAGGGGTTGTGATGTCACCTCGCAGCATAAAGGGCCTTGGTTCAGTTCCCGGCCGGGTGACCGAGGTCCTTCCTGTGTGGAGTTTGCATGTTCTCCCCGTGTCTGCTTGGGTTTCCTCCGGGTGCTCCGGTTTCCTCCCACAGTCCAAAGACATGCAGTCAGGCCAATTGGACATGCTAAATTGCCCCTAGGTGTGAGTGTGGGTGTGAATGTATATGTCTGTCTGTCTGCTCTGCGATGGACTGGCGACCTGTCCAGGATGTTTCCTGCCTTCTGCCCAATGACCGCTGGAATAGGCTCCTCCCGCGACCCAGAAGGATAAGCGGTTTAGAAAGTGTGTGTGTGTGTGTGTGTGTGTATGATCCCTAAACCACCAGTGAATCAACATGTGTCTTCCAAATGTTTTCATATGTAATGTTGATAATGGTAAAACAGTGTCAAATCTGAAAACAATACTTTTCCATGGAGACTATTTTGCCATGAAACACCCTAAATGCATCCCTCCGCCATGAATGTCTTAAAAAATACATTTTAGGCCAAAACCTACTCAAAACTATTGTAACACACTGTCTCAGACCTTAGGGCAGCATACTCATAACCACTTCATGTAATAGGAGCTTTTAAGGACATTAAACTCTTCAGACGTCTGATTTCTGTCACCACCACTGTGAACAATTCTGATTCTCCAGAATAGAGCATTTACATCAAACCACCCTGAATGACTTCATTTGTGTATTAACCATTAAATTATACAGAAAATGTATACAGAAATTTAACAATGTTTACATACCACATCAAACTCTTTTATTTAAAAGTGTGGAAATTTTGTTATTCCATTATATCGGCCCTTTAATATAGTCAAAATAGCATAGTGCAGCTTGGTGCATCAGAATAAGAGATCAAACACTCTGTCAGTTTGAATTGTGTTTATTATTCTTGAATGCATTGTTTGCACGTAAAAAGACACTTTAATATTGCATCACATTAAAGACATTTTTTGTGGAATGTGCTACTTTGAAACATTCAATGAAGATCGTTTCTTTCCAATTTCATGCTGCAGGAAGATTTTAAGCACTGGACAGCATAGGGTCAGCAGCAGGCACTAAGTTTTATTGACACTGTCAATGTGTAAAAATCAGGCTAAGATAGAATAAATATTCAGCTTCACTTTTGCTATCTGTGACAAATAAAATGTGTAAATGTGCTGTAAATACTGGTGATTTGTATTAAACTAATTAAAAAAGAGAGATTTGGACGAGGCGGATAAAGCTAAATCTGGGACTTTTAAAGGTTTATTATCTATTAGCCACATTTTACTGCATAGTGACAACATAAGTGCCTTCAGCTTAGTGGGCCTCTTTGGTTTAACTGTGAGGAATCATCAAATATACTCACCAAAACCGATAGCACATGTTTATATTACCAGCACATGCAAAACCAGAAATGCTAACAGTGACTCTTCCATAAAACAGCAGCTCAGCCCATCACATTCTGTCAATTCTGCTAGAGCTCAAATAAGCCTGGTGTTGGTAGAAGTTGGCTTTTCACACTGATCTAAGAAAACTGGGTGTCTGGGTCTCATTACTGTTTGAAATAAGGAATTAAATAGATTGAGCTCGTCCTATATCACTGTAAACAAGGCACCTTCAACTGGACAAGATAGAAGTTTGTAGTCTTCTGCTGACCAAAGACCAGTTTAGGCAGTGTCTGTATTAATTTAAGTGATGGGCTGGCCAGAAATGTCATTGACAGTTTTTCCCCCTTTCCCTAAATATGGTCAATCAGCCAAGACATGATTGGTGTGTCTGAAGTTCGCTTCTTTAGTTTTGCACTGGAGCTACGAGGCTAATGTACCTAACAAGTAGTGGAAGCTTAGCCTAAAAGTAAACAAACAGCCTGCCTAAATAATCTCAAGCCTGCCTAAAACCATGTTGAGTTGTTAAGTATTCTCAAATATACTTCTTTACGTGGTTTCTAACATTGAATGGCTTACTGTAGTCTGTAAACATGCAGTTAGCACAACTGCTAAAGCAGTGACTGCTTCCATTACTTGTTAGCTACATTAAGCTCGTAGCTGAGTACAAAATTAAAGAAGTAAACTACAGACACCAAACTGACTGGCTACATTTGGAATAAGGGCAACATAGTTTTTTTATTATTATATTTTTTTATAATTTTTGCCAAACTGTCACATTTAAAAAAAACAGAAACTACCAAAGCTGATCCACAGTCAGATGTTTCCAATTTGAGTAGAGAGAACTGGACCTAGATCAGTGTGAAAGGTCAGTTATACCCAAAAGCAGTTGAAATAGCTTGTGTACTTTGAGGGTTTAAGGAAGGGCTCTATTGGAATCCATCGTAGGCCTCTTGTTCGCCGCGCTGGCTGCAGTATTTGCGGTCGTAGACTAGGCGGGAGCCGCCCATTGGGGTCAAGCCGCTCTGAGAGGGGACTTTATTGGTTCCCATTTGCAGGGACACAGTGGTGGTGTCCATTGGCTCCACACTCATGTTCTTCTCAGTCACCTGCCTCACTGTGCCCAGGGCCGGCATACCAGACTGACCAGAAAGAGAGAGGGAGAGCGAGAGCACCTTGTCTTTTACCGTGAAGGATACGAAGGTACACAGAATATGCTGTAATAAAGCTTCACTTTAAATCACTTTAGACTGCTGTATTCACTGAATATAATTAGTAAACCTGTTGTATTTTTATATAACAATAAAAAGCAAATAAATATGAAATTATCACCAGCACAGCTACTGTTTACTGTCTAGATTATAACTATGTAAATATGTATTGTCCTGGCATTGTCAGGGAGATTTACTTCCCCTGGCGCTTTTTAAAAAGACTATAATCATACATGGTTTCTGGAATTTAATGCCAGACATATCTAAAACACACATTGCTAAATACAAAAAAAAATCAGAAACTGAAAGTATTATTAGGAGAAGGGAATAATGCTGCTTTGGCTGCATTTGATAGAAAATGAATCAACAACACTAATAGACTTAGTTTCAGTTATAATGTATATCGTTCAAAATAAATATGTAGTCTTTATAATAACTATTTTATATATCATTGCTGTCATATCAAATCTTCTTAGTCATTTGAAAACAACTGCTTTTTCCATTGTATGAAAATATCATGATGAATGAACCAATACAAATTGTCCAAAATGATTTAGATACAATTAATTACAACAGAAAATGTTTGCAACCCCATTACCAAAAAAGTTGGAACACTGTGGAAATTGTAAATAAAAACAAAATGCAATGATGTGCAAATCATTTAAACCCTATATTTAATTGAAAATAGTACAAAGACAAATAGCATTATCAAATGCTAAAACTGATTTTATTGTTTAACTGTCCAGGTTGGGACGGGGGCAACAAAAGGCTGGTAAATGTGTGTAATGCTAAAAAACACGTGGTGGTTAATTGGCAACAGGTCAGTAGCATGACTGGGTATAAAAACAGCATCCCAGAGAGGCTGAGCATGGGTGACAGGCACATCTGTGAAGGCACCATTAATGCTGAACGATATATAAGTTTTGGTGACGTATGCTGCCATCCAGACAACGTCTTTTGCAGGGCAGGCCTTGCTTATTTCAGCAAGACAATGCCAAACCATATTCTGCATGTATTACAACAGCATTGCTCCATATTAAAAGAGTCCTGGTGCTAAATTGTCCTGCCTGCAGTCCAGACCTGCCACCACTGAAAACATTTGGCGCATTATGAAATGAAAAATACGACAAATGAGCCCCTGAACTGTTGAGCAGCTGAAATCCTATATCAACAAGAACTGGAAAACATTTTACTTTAAAAACTACAGCGGTGTCTCCTCAGTTCTCAAACACTTACAGAGTGTTGTTAAAAGAAGAGGTGATGAAACACAGTGGTAAACATGACCCTGTCCCAGCTCTTTTGAATGTGTTGTTGGCATCAAATTTAAAATGGGCATATATTTTTCAAAAAAACAATAAAATTTCTCAGTTTCAACATTTGATATGTTGTCTTTGTAGTGTTTTCCTTTAAAAATATGCATTATGCTTAATATGACAAAGGACTTGTTTCTGTCTGATTTTGGAGGTACTGGTGGTTCTATGTTCTCACCATGCTGGCACATTTATTGGTGCCCATCTGGAGGTGGATGCTGTTGCGGTCCACAGGCTTCTCCATGCCCATCTTGGGGTCATAAATGTGCCGTCTTGTGCCATAAGAAGTCATGCCCTTCTGACTGGCGTACTTGTTGGAGCCCATCTGAACATGAAGAAGTTACTGATTAATATGTCCTTCAACTTGGAAGCGCTTGTCATGTGGCCTTTTGATTATGAGCCCATTAAATTTCCATGTTCATTTCAAATGATTTGTTGGATTAACCAGAATGAAATCTTCTACTATAGATTTTTAAGCATAGTATACTTCTCAAATACATTAACATATATATCTCTAATTCCGCTCTACCTAATAAACCTAATTCATTCCTTAAACCAGGCATGTCAAACTGGGGAACTTCCAGGCCAAAGTGCCGTGGAGATTAGCGTTTACCCTCATCTGAGGCTTTGAATTCAGTTCATGAAGGCCTTGTTAATTAGCTGATTAGCTGAATCAGTTGTTTTTAATGAGGCAGTGTGCTGAAGTCTGCATTCTTTTGGCCTCCAAGGACTGGAGCCTGACATGTGCCTTAAACGATGTGAAGTGAAATAAAATTGTGTGCAGTCCTGATATCAAAGAGTATGTGAACAAATTAAGTGAACTCATTTTACCTGATTGAAGGAATATGCACATTATTAAGTAGCTCACACAGAACATGCAGGACCCAGACCGACCTGACTCCGTATGCTATGAAGCTTTTTGGATACCCTGGACAGGACAGGTTCACCCCTGACCACTTACCTGTTGACAGATGATGCTGTCTCCCTCTTTCAGTTTCTCGGGGGTGAACCTCCTCTGCTTCTTGGAGGTATATTTCACCCCGATGTCATATTTAGTGTACAAGCCTTTGGTCTTCGCCTGTGAGGAAAACAAAGCATTCAAAAATGTACTGAGAATTATAGCAGGAGGTGTGCACACAACCTGAGTCGGAAGATTGTAAGCAAATCAAACAATCTGATTGGATAATTGAATCATTGGTCCTGAAATGTGATTAAGTAGTTGATTTTTCTGTCCTGAGGTGTGATTGGATAGTTAAATGTTCCTTCTTGAGCTGTGATTGGGTGGTTGTATTTTCCTTCATGATCTCTAAAGAGCTAGTTGAGTTATCAGTCTAGCAGTCTGGTTGGAGAGTTGAATTATCTGTCCTGCAATCTGATTGGATGAATCGATTCAAGACCTGAGCTGTGAATGGGTAGTTGAATTTTTGTTCTTGGGCTATGAATGGGTAGTTGAATTTTCGTTCTTAAGCTGTGATTGGGCGGTTGACTTTTCGCTCTTGGGCTGTCATTGGGTAGTTGAATTTTCTTCGGGATCTCTGATCGGCTGGTTGAATTATCAATCCTGAAATCTTGTTGGGGAGCTGTGTTATCAGTCCTGCACTCTGTTTGGCTAAATCAGTCAGTCCATAGGCTTGTTAAATTGTCAAGCCTGCAGTCTGAAAGGCCAATTTCATTATCAGTCCTGCCTCCTAACTGGCTATCAATATTCACAGTAATTACAGTTAATAGTTGCTTTTTTTCAAGCAACTTATTTGAGATCAATAGGGCAGCTTCTTTTACAGTCAAGGTGAAGACTTTATTAGGAATAACTTTTCTGAAAGGTCAAACTCACCATTCCAGCGAGTGCGATGAGGGTACACTGCACCTGGGTGTGATTCATATCCTCAAACAAGTCATTGGCCTCAAAGATGTCATGTGGCTTCAGCCCATAGTCGCTAATGGCTCGAATAAAGCTTGTGATGTTCTCCAACTAAGACACAGGGACACAGGAGGGAGGGAGAGGTGTCGTGATTGAAAGAGAGAGAGGGAGACTGATGGATAGGACAATGTTAGGGTCATTTACTTAGTGCAGAATAGTAGAGCACTTTTGAAAGCTTGTATAAATGAGTGCACTGCTTTGAGATGTTTTTAACGTCCTGCATTTTGTTTCTCTTACAAATGCTTTGAATGGTTTTGAAGATTTGGTGGCTAATCAGCAACATTACCAGTCAATCTAACTTAGCAGGGCTGTAGTTTAAACATATTCAAGCAGACTGAGAGCAAAGGAGGTAATTTAATCCATTATTTGACCAAGTGTGATGTTTCTTATTAATGAATCTTGCAGTCTTGATTGGATGTTGTTTTAACTTGTGTAACTATTTGTGCATTAAGTCAGCAAATTTCTCTCCAGGGCCCACATGCATACATAGAGAGATAAGTCAAACAGTGACTTGGAATGTAAATGTGTTGAAGTTTGGGTTGAAATAAGCACTGTAGAATCCAAACAGAGAGAATCAATGAGTAAGAATCTACCTGTAATGTCTGGCAAAAGGAGCCAAACCCATTTAATCCGACCAAATCTCAATTTTGTCCACATCCATTACATTTTATTGCCTTGGGCAGTGCTAACACATACCTCTCACGTAATGTCATCCATGTCTTACATTTTTGTGTTTAAGGCCATATGTTTGGCATGTGTTTGTCAAAGAGATGGCTATGAGGGTTTTCCTTTATTGGCTAAAAGGAAGGACTTGAACATAACCATTCTGAACCTATACTTAGTCAAGACAGATCCATCTATATAATAAATACACCAGTCCTGAGAGATATATAGATGGAATAAATTCTGAACCTATACTTAGTCAAGACAGATCCGTCTATATAATAAATACACCAGTCCTGAGAGATATATAGATGGAATAAATTCCCCCACAGACTGAGCTGTGTACCTTATGCCAGTTGAGGGCCGGCTGGTTGATCCTCGGTACTGATCCTGGCTGAAGTTTGTTGATCAGCCTAGCAGAAACAGGACCATAAAAGCAGAATTGAGCTCCATTCTCTAAAAAAACAGCTATGGAGAGGTCCAAGAAGGACAGGCTGGCCTACAAATGCACTCATATTCCAGTTACATTAGCAAGTTTTCCAATAGCATAGTATTTTTGCAGCCCAGCCTTAAAATTGTGTTGTCATATATAGCAATGTTTGTTTAAAAAACGTACATAGTTTTCCCCTTTACCCCAAACAGTTGATCAGCTAAGACATATTTGGTGTCTAAAGTTTGCTTCTTTAGTTTTGCACTGGAGCTATGAGGCTAATGTAGCTAACAATTAATGGAGGCTCTACTCACCAGTTAGCATTGTGTGCGCTGCTTCCCTCAAACAAAGGCAAGTTGTTAAGTAATCTCATAATGGCTAGCTTATGTTGTCATCTATAAAAATGTTTATTTAAGCAAGTATATTTCATAGCTAAAATGAGCAACAGTCATTATGAAACCCGATTCTTTTTAAAACTAGTATATCATACTGTCAGAAACCCCGTAAACAAGTCTTTCAGCTTGAGGTGGTTTGATTGTGTGATGATTCTGGCATTACAATAAGCAAAATGCTGGACTGACAACTATAAGTTTTCTTTACTTGCTAAACTAAAGCAAACTTCAGACACCAGACTACATGCAGGCTTAGGAGGGAACTGTACAGTTTTGCTCAAGCTTTAATGATAATCGAAGATCCATTTCACAGTTTATTTTATAACAGATAAAGTATAGAGACACAGAAAGTATAGAGATAGTTGCGCATTTCTGCTTGCATACAGTGCATTCAGTCAAGCAAGCACAGAGGTGCTGGCCACTATATGTAGCACAAATTGGGACATAGCCTACGGTCACTCACTCGCAGAGGATGACTCCATCCTTGAGTCCCTCCATGAAGTTGCTAGGGATGACCCTGGCCGGTGACCTCCTGGATCCACTGGCGCAGGGCGTCCTCCATCTGGGGGTCATATTTCTGCACCAGCTATGATCGAAGGGTCAAAGATCAGAGAGAAGAAGAGGAGTACAGGCCATGAGCAGTATATTCTGTGTCAGGTACTGATGTTTGATGATTAGTTCTGGACTACGAACACCACCCTAACTCATTCCAGAGGTATTTGATGGAGCTCCATCATTCTAAAGAACGCAGTTCCACTGCTTCACCAATGCTGGGGGGCTTTATAAACCTCTAGCTCACGCTTGGCATTGGGCATCCCATACTAATGGTGATGCTTTTCTATGGAGATACAAACAGTGTGTGCACAGTTGAATGCCTGAGTCAGCAGCGGGTGCACCTTAAAGTGGCTGAATTCAATCGAATTAGAAGAGGGATCAGGATAATTTTGGATAGATATAATGTACAATAATCAGCTGTCACAAATTGTTAATTTCTAGCTAGGTGTATGAGGGTGGCTATCGCAAAGACGGCATCCTGGAAGCATTGTTGTCAGGGTATTTGGGGTAAAAAAGGTAAGGATTCTCTGGCTGCCAGAGGACCCACAAATTCCACTACTACTGCTAGCAGAAGCTCTCAGAGCAATGATCTGTTTGTTACTTTTAAAAGGACATGTGTCAGCTCATGGCTGTGAAAGCACCATTGCTACATTTAAATATTGTCAGTATATTGGCTGAGGGCTTGTTAGAATGTCTAATCTCCTCACTAAACTAAACAAAAATTTACCACATATAAATAATCAGTTTCAGACTCATTCTGAATGAATTTTGTTGACTTTTAAGAATATTATTGCCAGTCCAGTCCTTAAGGACCCCCCAGTTTTTTGACCTGTTAAGGTACACCCATTGCTGACACAGGCAATCAACTTCGCACTCACAGCTAAAGTAATCTCCAAAGAATAGCATTGCCAATAGAATGGGAAACTCTGGGGCAGCTGCACATTTTAACCATGTCCAATTCCAAATGTCAGCTAGAGGATTATGAAGCTCCCTGACATTGGGCTATGGAGTGATGAAATTGCATTCTCTGAAGTGATGGACCTTCATCCAATACCTCTGGGATGAGTTGGAGTGATCCAGATCTAATCATACAACATCAGTACCCAATCTCACTCATGTTCTTGTGGCTGGATGCAATCAAATGCTCACAGCAATGTTCCAACATCTAGTGTAAAGCCTTCCCAGAAGAGTAGAGGCTTTTACTGCAGCAAAGGGGGACAAGCTCCCTTTTTTAAATTTCAGAAGAAAGTCGAATGAAGAGGAACTCTCTTTCTGTCCCTCTCAGCCGCACACTCAGATACACACTTCTCTTACCTTATTCCTGACGTCAGCGGACAGTCCGAAGGTGGGTCCTTTGCTGAACTGAGTGCTCATGGTGTCTGCTGTAGAGTTGAGCTGTGTGGTCACTCCTGTAGTAGCCTCTCACTCTGGAGCTGAAGCTCAGCAGTGGTTACCTCTTGTACACTCACTCTTTTAAAACACGCCACACTCCGGGTGGCATACCTCACTGTTTCTGATTGGCTGGGGGCCGGATGGTCTGGTCAATCAGAGAGAAGACGCTCTGTTAGTGCTGCAGTTAATGTGGCATCAGTTTGGCTGGATTAGATTTAGAAACTGATCTGTAAATTGATAAGAGTAACTCATTTACTACATAATTATCATTACATTTATAGTGACTTCTTTACTGTTTTGTGCTTCCTTTCACTGATTGGTTGTTAAATTTCAGTCACTCTGGTGCAATTTTATTTTTTTATTAGTCTAATTATTTTTTTGAGTTTATTGGATTAAAGGGAAGAAACTGTTTTCTACAGTAATTAATTTTCTACAGAATCATCATTGCATTTTTAATTGCCATATCTTTTCACACTTCATCTTTACGTGTTTGCGTTTACTAATGTGTTTTGAATTACAGCCATTTTGGTAAGATTTATCTTACTTGTTTACATTTTTCAAAATGTTTTTTAAAAAATATATAGGTGCTGTTGGAGCAAAACCTTCTGTCTCCAATTTCTGTCTTTTTTTTTTCTTTTTAACACAATTTAAAAAAAAATAGAAATGGTCCAAAATATTGTTTTATTAACTACTGTTATGAGTTAAGAACCTTTTTTCCTTTTTATATAAATTTGCCCTAGTTGTACAACCGATACTCAATCATGGTAAAGAACCATTTAACCATGTAAAAACATTTAAGCATTCAAGTGGTTTTCTGAGTTGACCTGATTCTGAATATAATCACTGCTTGTGAACCAGCAAAGAACCCCCTTTTTTGGGTGTAGAGGGACCACTTTTGGTCCTCTAAGGAACTTTTCTTTGGGTGGTTCTTTAAAGGACCATTTTTGTAAATGAGATATAAAGATTTTTTAAAAAAGTTTAAAGAACCTCCACATAGAGTAAATGTGTTAGGAAGAAGCCTAAATTGGTACAGAACATTTACGGTATGTGAAAGTTCTTTAAAACTTTGAAAGGTTCTTCACACCCTCACCCACTCTTCATGCAGGTTTGGTTCTTCAGGGAACCAAAAGTAGTTTCTCTATGGGATCACTCATAGAACGTTTAACCCTTAAAGGACTAAGCCTAGAAGTGGCCATCTGGACATATCTTGTTATATTTAACTGTAAAGTAGCACTTTACAGTAAACTATTTAGGTGTTTTGAAGACAAATCAGGAAGCTAGTAATCTACATTTAGTGCTGTATTTCAGCACTGTGAACTGTACGACACCCAATGGCTAGTTGTCTGTCTGACAAATGGATGAACTGATGAGAACCAGTAAGTCATTATCTCTACATGACTATGACTTATTTGCATGGTATAATTATCATTGAGAGGGAGAGAAAGTTCAGTTCAGTTTAGTTCAGTTCAGTTCAGAATACTTTATTAGTCCCAAAAAGGGCAATTCATTTGCAGCTTTCTCGTCCATACACACGACTGTACATATACATATAAACACACACATACATACTTTAAAAAAAAAGAGACAGAGTGAGAGAGGAAGAGAGAGAGAGAGAGAGAGAGAGAGAGAGAGAGAGGAGATGGAATGTTAGTGCTTTATTTGGTAATGATGATGGTGCCTGTCAGAGAGAGAGTGAGAGATGTGTTTGGGTCAGTGTCAGTGTAGATGGAGAGCTTCTAAAAAGAGAGTGAACTGAGGGAGATGCTGGATGTGAGATTCTTCTAAGAGTTCCTCTGTAGACTACAGAGACATACTTCTCAAAAATCACACAGGAGCCTTAACAACTAAATATAATATCTTTTTTTCAGTATCTAGTGTGTCTACTCTTTACCTTTATAACAGCTTCCACACTTTTCAGCAGTCTTGCTTTCAGTTTTTCAGAAACGGGCAGGAATGTTTTTCCACACCTTCAGTCTTAGTAGTTGGTTGCATTTTGTGCTTCTCAAAAATCAAGTAATTCCAAAGACATTGAGGTTTGGACTCTGAGGTGGTCTATTGTTTTGACAACACCAGCAGCCTCTTTGTTTGATTTATAGATGTTCTTCTTTTTTTGTCGATTTTATTTTCTCAGTAAGACCTTCTTGACAGCTACACATCCTTTCAGACTCATAGTGTTGAGTTGTCTTCTCACAGTGGAAGGATGGACAGAAACACCTGTGGATTTATTCAGATCTGAAGCAAGAGTGGAGCTCGATGTTCTGCTCTCTCTCAAAGACAAAAATTCTGTCTTTAAGTTCTGTTTATCTGACAGGGACAGATTTGGTGGTTTACCAGGTCTTACGTGATTGTTAGGAGTCCCATTTTCTGTGTATCTTTTAATACACAACTTCTGTGTTTTCTCTTATTTTCCTTTGACTTTCCACTTCGTAATCTCATTGGCCACTTCTTTGGAAACTGCTACCATGTAAGTGCACCTTGTCTATATGATTACAGACTGCAGCCCATCTGTTGCTGCACAATTAAAAACCCCACTGCTAACCTGTCCGTTATTGGAAGTAGACCACCATATGACCACCGCTGACCAGGTATTATTTAGGTGGTGCACCATTCTCAGCGCTGTAGTAACACTAACAGTGTAGTATCATGGTTGTCTGACTGGTGTTGTTATGAGTGTATCATGCACAGATGCACTAAAATATATTACACACTCTAATGACATACAACACATTGTGCCACATGACCCAAGTAACCCACATTTCATGCACGCTTATGAAAAGATACAGAGTGACACATCTGAAAGAATAGATAATGCATTTACCATTTCCCTATTAAGAGAAGGTGGGTGAAATGGTAAAACATCCAGAAACCTGCATCTTAAACTGCCCTCCTAATACCATATCCTCTACAGCCTTTCCATGCTTTTAAACCTACACTGTATGGCCAAAAGTATGTGGACGTCCCTCCTAATTACTGAGTTCAGGTGTTTCAGCTACACCCATTGCTAACAGGTTTATAAAATCAAAGTATATAGCCTTGCACTCTCCACAGAGAGACATTGGCAGTAGAATGGGTCATGCTGAAGAACTTAGTGATTTTAAACATAGTGCTGTCAGAGGATGTTGTGTTTGCCACAAGTCAGTTTATGCAATTTCTGCCTTGCTAGATCTGCCCCGGTCAAATGTAAGTGGTTTTATTGTGAAATAGAAGCATCTAGGAGCAACACCAGCTCAGCCACAAAGCAGTAAACCATGTAAAGTCGCGGAGCAGAGGGGCCAAAAGTGCGTAAAAATCCTCTGTTCCATCACCTACTACAGGGTTCCAAACTGCCAAGAACTGTGCATCAGGAGCTTCATGAAAAGGGTTTCTGTCAGGGGGGGGGGCTGCTGCACACAAGCCTAAGATCACTATGTGCAATGCCAGGGGTTGGCTGGAGTGGAGTAAAGCATGCTGCCCCTGGTCTCTGGAGCAGAAGAAACGTGTTCTCTGGAGTGATAAATCACACTTTACTATTTGGCAGTCTGATGGTTGAATCTGAGTTTTTTTGTGGTTTGGGTTCGACCCCTTAGCTCCAGTGAGGGGTAATGTTAATACTACAGCATACAAAGACATTTAAAACAATCATGTACTTCCAACTTTATGGCATTTTGGTGAAGGCCCTTTCCTGTTTCAGTATGACTGTGCTCCTGTGCACAAAGCAAGGTCTATAAAGACATGATATGAGGAGTTTGGTGTGAAGGATCTCCAGTGGCCTGAATAGAGCCCTGACCTTAACCCCACTGAATACCTTTGGGATAAAGTACAACATTGATTGTGAGTCAGGCCTTTTTGTGTCTGACCTCACAAATGATCTTTTGGCTGAATGAACAGAAAATCCCACAGACACACTCTAAAATCTTATGGAAAGCTTCCCAGTAGAGTGGAGGCTGTTATAGCCACAAAGAGGGGGCAACTCCATATTAAAACTCATAGTTTTGGAATGGGATGACTAAAAAGCTCATCTATGTGCAACGGTCAGGGATTCACATACTTCAGGCTACATAGCGCATATACATCAGCACCTGCTAATATTAATTTTATAATATTAATATTAATACCTATTAAAATAAAATATAACATTAATATAGAAGTTGAAGACCAGCAGCCTAATCAGACTAAACAAATGTGATGTCTGTGATTCCAATGTTGAAAAAAAAAGAGTATAAGCAAGCAAGGTATTCATGGTCATGGTACTGTTTTGACTTTTATTAATCCCAGTTAATCACCCATATATCAAATATACTTCAAAACACTGCAGAGATACGAGCCTGTTTATTGCCTTATAAAGCTCTGTCCCAAATACTGTCCTACGCTTTATAATTGGCCTTAAAATCCACACTTTAGTGATGTCAGCAGTGTGCAGACCTGAAGGGCAATAGACCTCGATGATGCTTGGTTTAAACATGTGCTTTCGGGACAGACTCATGTGATGTGCAGGTTCTCCACATGCCACATGTGGTGAATTGGTCATATTCTTTTTTCGGATTACCTATAGAACTGCAGTGGAACTCCACGGCATCTATCAACATAAGAAATGAGGTTTGTTAGGCTCTACAAATGATTATTTTTACATGGTTATTATGTATTTTGTCTTTTTCCATCCAAATGAGAAAATCACTGAAAGTAGAGTGCCTATATGACCACTAGGTGGAGAAAGTCAACAAGCCTTCCAGCATCCTCGCGCTAGTATACATCACTGTTGCATTTGGTTTATAAAATACAAACATATCATAAATACAACCATATCCACAAAGTAACTGTAGTGTATGTCAGCAGTAAAAGTAGTGTAATAACAGGTAGTGTAAGTTGTTTATTCTAAAATCCTTTAATACAACAATGTCTTTTTCACAACTCCAAATTCTCATTTTATTGAACTTTCTATAGTTCTGAGCTTGTTTGCATACTTCCCTTAATAGTTTTATTATAAAATAAACCTAGCTGTGTTTCCTTCTTGTGAAGCTATTAGGATTATGAGAATTTGCATGGCTGTCCATCTTCCAGGCCTGTGTTTTGTATAAACCTATGGTTAATTTGTTGCTCTGGGTATAGGTGGGCAGTACTCACAGCACAGACCAGCAAGCAGGCAGGCTAGTCTGGTTCTGGTTTAGCTGGTCATCCCATAGTTTTTGAGTCAGTTTTAAAAGTGGAAATGGATGAGCAGTCACAAATGTGCTGGGGAAAGGAGTTCCAAAGCTTAGCTTAGGCCATAGAACTAAAGGACCTGCTACCCCAAAAAGACAGTCTAGTTTGGGGATAAAACCAACAGATTAGTGCAAGAAGACCTGAGTTTGCGCGAAGGGATGTACAAATGATAAAGCTGAGCTAAATATGTTGGGGCTAGTCCATGTAGCTCCTTAAAAAAATGAGAAGTATCTTGTATAGAATACATGAAGTAATGGGTAGCCAATGTAACTGGTGTAAGAGTTACTGGTGTAAGTGATATGCTCTACAGGATATTATCGCTATATCCATGTCTATTTAAGGTATCTGCAGTGAGACCAGTAAAAATAGAGCTACAGTATTGAAGTTGAGAAGTGATAATAGTATGAACCAGTGTTTCAGCATCTTTTTAGTATGTTCATATGTTCTCTTCAACTCAAGTACACTCAAGTATCTTTACTCAGCTCTGTTTTAGGCCTTCATATTGAATGACTAATTCCTTTTTGGGTTCTGTTCTGTCAGTTCAGCACTTGGACTGCCTTGCTGTACCTCACACTTCTCACTTTGGAGCTTTGCCATTTAGTTTTAGACCAAAAGGATGCCAAAAAGATAGATAGATTCTAAAAAAAACTTCATTTCTTATGATGATAGACATTAAGACTTTCCACAGTATTTCTTTACTAAGTTACTTAGTACTTCAGGAGATTTTTTGAGCTGATGGGTTTTTGATCTGATATAAGGAACATACAACACTTTGATCAGTGCTACTCTGTGGAAAAAAGTCTCATCATAATGTTTTAAATTTGTTTGATTCTGTTGGTTGTTAATCATTCTGAAGCTCTTCATAAGATATCCAAATTATATTTAAAAAATAATTGGGTACAATATCTCTTTGTGACTAAAAATGGATGAGGGATTCACAATTTAACATTTTCACAGTAATTTAAAAAGATCTGGTTTTGGTTTTATAATAACAAATTACATCCTTTACTTGGGCTTTGCCCTTTCCACTTAGATAGAACAAATAAAATCATACAAATATACAGTCAACGTCAGAACAGCGTATCATAAGACAGCATTTAAACAAAACATACATGCAATACATTCAAATCATTTTTTACAAGCTAAGATAAAGTGAAACAAGGAAGATAGAATCTAATTATATTTATACAGATTAACTTATACGGATTCCAAATTACACACACACATACACACACACACACACACACACACACACAGTGATTAAAGGAGTAAATACCTTTGACAGGGTAAAAATGTGACTACATAAATTAGACCAAAATCTATTAGTTGCACTTTCCACTCTAGTTGTCATACAGAATAAGCCACAACGTCACTCTTTCGGTACCGCCTGATTGGTCGATTCTGGAAAGTAGGCGGGGCTGGAAACCGGACGCCGACAGAGCTGCAGCAGCCGGAGAGATAATTAAACAAAAAAATCTTGTTTGTCTGCTTATGTTTTTAACGTATTGACTATTTGATTATTATAAATATTCTTTTTAATTTATTATGATTTGTATCATTATTATCGTCATTATCTCCACATAGTATGCTTAGCTTATATGCCTTGGCAACACTGTACATGATTTAGTCATTCCAGTATCCAGCGCCCTTGAACTGAACTGAAAGAGAGGGAGGAAAGAACAGAGAGAATGAGAGAGAACGAAGAGAAACACGTCTGTAAGCGCTGAGATGCGCCGTTTCTGCCCGTTTGAGTTTGCCCAACTGAGTGAGTGACAACGTCACTCCTTCTGCGCCGTTTGATTGGTCGATTCTGGATGGTGGGCGGGACTTAAAGCTGGACGCCAGGATACACGCAACCTTGAAAGCGTGAAAGAGCGAGCAAATAATAGCAAGAATGAAAGAAAATGAAGAAAAGATAAATATTTCTCAAAGCAAAACAACGACATGCATCGTTTCTGCCTGTTCGAGCTGAACAACGGAGTGAGTGCGAGCCACAAACGTCACTCCTCCGGGACCGTCTGATTGGTCGATGCTGGAAAGTGGGCGGGGCTGGAAACTGGACGCCAGGATAGCACGCAACCTTGAAAGCGGGAAAGAGCGAGCAAATAATAGAGAGAATGAAAGAAAAAATGAAGAGAAGAGAAATATTTCTCTAAGCAAAACAACGACATGCATCGTTTCTGCTTGTTCACGCTGAACAACAGAGCTACAAACGTCACTCCTCCGGGACCGTCTGATTGGTCGATGCCGGAAAGTGGGCGGGGCTGGAAACTGGACGCCAGGAGAGCACGCTACAGCGGGAGAGAGGGAGAGCGACAGAGAGAGAGAGGAAAGAATAGAGAGAACAGAGAGAATGAGTGAGCTTGGAGAGAAGTGTCTGCGTACGCCAAGAGATGAACAGTTTTTGGCTGTTTGAAGAGTAAAGACGAGAGAAGCTGCCGCCCTTCGAGGGCACAGACTGATCAGTTTTCAGTGCCGAGACCGCTGCTGGAATTCTGTACTTCATTTTGAACCAAGTGACGGTTAACGTTACTGCCGTTAGGAGCTACAGGAGAGAGAGGGAGAGAGAAAGAGGGAGAAGGCTTTGAAAACCGCTTTTTTCTCTTTTCGCCGACGGGTAAGTCTGCTAATTTAACGTAAACTGACCCCAGATGTGAAGGTTTTGTTATCTGGCCGCGTTTGGTTGGTTAGGTTTTTAAGGATAAATGGAAAAAGTGGGAAACAAGCGAGGAATCGAACAGGCACCCTCACGCCCTGCTGTTGGCTGTTATTGTCTAGCCTGTAGGTTAGTAATGATAAAATTGCCGGAGAGAAAAAGAGCACGTTAGCTGAGTATGGAAGGGCATGTTTGTGGGGACCTTACATATTAAATGTGTGTGTTAGTGCCGCGATAATGTGCCAGACCCTTCCCTCTTGAGACGATGGGGTTTTGCCAGTGTAGTTTGCAAGTATGAGTATAATTAGCTCGCACAATTAGCCACCTTCGGCTACACAGCGTGCTCTGTTGAGCCAAAGGATAGCCAGTAACCTGTGTGTTCACTCCTGTTGGGTGGGTGGCTGTAAGCTATCCAGCTGGAGAGGCGAATTCGGTTTAAAATGTCCAGCCATGCTGCATTTCATCGTGTCTGGCGCACACACGTCAATTTTATGACAAAACCCAGTGTCATGTGTTCAGCTATTGTCGGTTGGGTGTGTTCAAACTCAGCATAGCGTCTGTATCTTATCACGTTACTCGCTGGAGGCTACTTAATGGTGTCATCTTTTCCCCCTTCAGCACTGTAATTCCGCATGAATAAGTTCAGAGGTTTAGAGGAGTTTTAAATGCTCCAGAAATGGGAGCAGTGGTCTCCACCCTTTGCAGCTTGCCTGCCATCCCACTGGGCACACATCAGACCAAAGAGGGAGGTTCAAATGGTCCCCTCAAGCTGAAAAACGGCTTCATGAACGATTGTGCTGTGGAAAAAAAGCATGCAAAATGTGTCTGTCGTGCTAAGCTAACGTTTTGGTTATACATTTGCATACTAGGCAGGAGGAGCTGGCTCCATTGTCCTGCCCAACAGACATGGTCAGTAACCTAGGGAGGTGACTGTGCAGTTCACGTACACTGCGATAGTACAGTGGCAGATTAGCAGGGAAGGAAGGAAATCAGTTGTCAAGAGAAAGAATACAACTCCATCCTTTTCCACAGGTTGAGAGACATCTCTTTTCAGTAGCTACTGGTCAACTAATTGCTGTTTATCCTGCCTGAGCATCGTAGTCTGATCTGGTTAGACCGCTACTCAAAGTCTTTGGGCTAATTAGCCTCTCTTGGTTTGTGTTTGGGGGGCTGAAGGGGGGGGGGGGTTGAAGCAGCTGTCAAGGGACACACTTTGTTGACCACAGATGTAGACAAAGCTTCAACACACATCACAGCAGAGTGGGAAAAACAGACTTGGTCTTTCTTCAGAGCCATTCAGCGAGACGCATGTCTTTATAAACCTGACACAGCTTGTTTTGATTGGACTGTTTTGTTCTACTTTCCTCTGTAACCAGACACAAACAACGTTTATGGAGACTAAACATACTGTTTACTTAGTAATTATGTATTTGGAGCTTTTCTTTAACACCCAGCGAATTGCATATTCTGCAGTTCAAGCTGCACTATGTCAGAATTTGTTAAAATTTAAAGAAGTAACATTACTCAGTCAGAAGGAAAGAAAATCACTAAAAAATATGGTCAGAGGTGTCTGGTCAGATTTCACAGGAGTTTTTTGGACTGTGTCATACATCTTTATGTACTAACCTCATGCACACAGTCTCAAAATAAAGGTCCAACTCGATGTGTAGGTCTCAAATGGAAAATTAACATTATACTGATATAATGTCCTTCACCGAGTTCTGTCTGAGTTCTCTTTGAATACTCTTTCAGTGCACTTGCAAACATCAGATTCATCCACTCTGGGAAGGGGTCCAAAGCACAGCAGCGTTATAAAGTGTTCTTGCACATATTGTGTGCAGTTACACATTTCCACCAGAGACGTCTCCAGCTCCCCAAAACGTACGTAGTGTTGCGGCAACTGTCAGGTCTTGGATATCATGAGTTAAAAGAATTTAAAAACTAGAAACAAACCGCTTGGGAACAGGGACATTGCTGTTTTGTCAACATTATGTCATGAAATAATGCTCATTGTTCCTTAAATATAGTGCTAAAATATTGATGAAACAAGTATTGTGAATATTATGGTACGCTGGTGTAAACAATGTCATTGACTCTTGATTTCCTTTGCGTTGTGCACTGTCAATTTGAGATAACAGGATTATACAGAAGCTTTTCCTTTCAAGCCTTGAAATTGCATTTAGTAGATTAGCTTTTTACTTAATTTCTCATTTCTCAGGCCAGTGCCACAGTTCAGCACACAAGAAATAATGCTGCAGTTTGTACCATAGCGGCAGTGCGATGCTTTCTTTGGCCGTTAGGGTCCAACCACAGCTTGTCACCAGCCGGGCGTAAAGCTGTGGTGTTTGTACTCCGTCTGGGCCGGTGTGCATCAACTGTCTCTCCACTAAGAGCAAACATGAGCTTGAGGTGCAGTGTTTGCCCACGTGTGTCTGGAAAAAGAGGCTACAGCACTCGATGTAGGTTACAACAGTAAAGGCCACTTACGTTGTTTGGTTAAAAGCTTCTATGAAAGAACTGCTCACTGTAACGGAAAGCTGAATCACTCTTTGTTTTGGTGGAGTCCTATATTTTTTTCATTTTTGGTGTTGTGTGAGCTTGAAATGGTAAGGAAACTGTGCCTGTATCTGCTTCAGAAACCCCTCCTTTCCTTCGTACTCTCTTCTAGTCCCGACAGCAGCATCAACCCGAGCGGAAGAGGAGACGACAAGTAGTTTTCCCCTCAGGAAATTCCCGCTGATTCCAGGGCAGAGCCGGACAGAAACAAGATGAGGAGTCTTCTTTTCTTCGGGATATTCGTTCGGTTTTATTGTACTTCATTTTCTGGAGAATCTTAGGGTGTCACCACATCTTGGCATGACCACTTTCAGCACAGTGTGACTGTGGCGGTTCAGCAATATTCCAAGTAGGGCTGCAGCAATTAGTTGACAAAGTTGACGGAAAACAGAAGCTATCTGATGTTCTGTAATATTAATGTGTCACACACAGCCATTCTGATAGATTACAATACACTGCAGGAAGAGCGGGGAGCGGCATGGCTTCTGTTGTTTTGTTGCACCATAAAAGAAATCTCTTGTTGCACTGGTATCTTTTGTTGTTAAGAATGGTTGGTAAATGAGACACATGTGTTGCATTATACTTTTCTGAGCATATCGTAGACATCGTCAGTGTGTCTGGAACACAGACTGACTGTCATTCATTACGAAGTGAGCATAATTAGTCCTTTTAATTGGATTTAATGCAGTGCAGTATGTGACAAGTTGAATAAAATCATTTGTATTGATTTCTCCATTCATCCCATCATTTGTCCATTCTAACTTATAAGACTTGTCAGAAAAAATATTGTGACATGTTGTGTATCGTGATCAGTATATTTTTGCCACATTGCCCACCACTAATTGTTAAGCTCAATTCCAAAAGTTTGTATGCTCAAAGATAAGCTGTGATGAACCTTCAGGTGGCATCATGCTCTGATATGCAGAATTACTGGGCTGCTTTCAGAGAGAGTAAGATGAGGTCTGCTAGTCTTTTCCAGTTTCAGTCTCAGAGCAACCTGTGCAATACAGATTTAATGCTCCAGCATTCCTGATCTACTCAGAAGAGAATCTGCTGTGTTAGAGCAGGGATAAGTCTGTAGACAGTAGTGCTGCACAATATATCTTTTGTTCACTGTTATCATGTGAATAAATCGTTGCTTCTGATTGGTCTAACTCATCTACTTATATCACAGAGGCAGATATGCAAATATTCCCTCTGTGAAGTCACATCACTCAGTAAACTTCCTGATCAAGCACAGTTGAATGTGGACTTTTTGACGAATAGAGGAATCGTGAACCATAATAGATTGTTGACAAGATAGATTATTTACAAGTGCATATTAATGTGGGCTGTTAAAATATGTGGCAATATAATGACAATACCAGTATAAACAATTGAAATAAAGTTTTCATTTCAATTGGGCTTGAGCAGCACTCTTCTAGGTAAATTGCTGACCAGAAGAAATTCAGTGGTCAATGGTTTTTCCATGTGCGGAAGCAAAGAGCCCTGTTTGCTGTCATGTTGAGGGGGGATGTGGTGATTTTGAGGGACTACTATGGGAATTGGCCTGTAAGAAGCAGATCTGATGAGAAAATCAGCTGCCTAAGGACTTACTAATGCTCCTCAGAGGGTATATGAGAGGAAGGCTTGTGTTGTGTGCATGTGTATATGCACAAGGTCACCCTCAGTCCATTAGCCATGTGCATCTGGGGTCTTACTTTGATATATTGTTCTACTCTGAGTGAGAGTGCTGATCCAGGATCAGTTTTTTTGCTTGTTAATTTCTTTGTTTCTTAATCGAATGACCTCAGATGTATGGACCAGACAGCAGGGCCTAGGCCAGCACCTGCTTTGATGTGATATGCTTGACACACATGGGCCACACAAAAGAACCCTGCTCTTAGGTGGTATTGTTTTACCAAAGCCCCCTTGGGGACCTGAGGTTTTGGGGGTTCAAAGAGCGCTATGGCCTACCATGAAACACATTCAGCAGGCGTAGTGAAACTGTAGAGGCTCTCTGTGTGCATACTCAGACATCCATTGCTGGAGGCTCCTGGTGGGCAGTGGTGCATTAGACAGCTGCTGATGTCTAGCAAAAAGGGTTTTGCACCAGCGTGCAAAGAGATAACTAAACGAGCTAGTGCTGAACGATTTGGGGAAGATATATAGTTGTGATATTTCTGATGTATCTTGTGACTGTGATTTAAGAGTTAAGAGTTATTTTTGGCAGCTCTTGTGATGTGAAAATTGCACTTTTTGGAATTGATATTGGTTAACCTTTTAAACTTCTTGGAACCGCCGGTGGTTCCAAAACACACTTTGTCATATTCTTCATAACTTTCATATTTCATAAGCTACATTCAAAAGGTGGGTGTCATATGAGAGCTGTAACTGTCTTCTTTCCAGTCAAGTAGAAGGGGTAA